TCAAAATATCACAAAGAAGTTTCATTTGTATTTGAACTAAGCCATTTGGTTGATCTGCTGTTTCTTTGATATTTTCAATGAAACTACTTCCTTGAAAGCTTCTGAAGTTTGAATTGTAAACATGTTTTGCAATGGTTGTCTTCCCTATTCCAGACATGCCATACACAACAAATATACCAACATCACTTGATCCATCTTGTAACCACAAATTGATGCGTTTGGCTTGAGATTGAATTCCAATCAATTTTGGTTCAACACTCAACGGCGTGCGACTTAACTTGTCTCCTATCACTTTAACAATGTTTTTGATAAACTTTGACTCGTACCTAAGAATTTGCAAACAATATGAAAAATGAATTGGGGAAATTAGATAATTAAAACATATGTTGATTGCCCTTGTTTAAATAAGAAAAAAAAGAGGACTGCTGACAAAATTAAATTGAAAAAAAGAAGAAGAAAGGAATACAGTGCATAATTTATACGAACTATAGACAAATACATCACAAATCACATCCTAACTTTTTTCCACACCAGCTTTCAAAAAAATTTAAGCAACTGGAAACCAGTAGCTTGATTTTGCAAACAAAATGAAAAAGGAATTGGGGAAATTAGATAATTAAAACATATGTTGATTGCCTTTGTTTAAAAAAGGAAAAAAAAAAGAAAAAAAAAGGACTGCTGACAAAATTAAATTGAAAAAAGAAAAGAAAAAATAAACTTTAACAAAAAGCTCTCAGTACTATTCACTTTAACGAAAAACCATATTTTTATACTAAAAAGTCAATTATGATACTATTCACTTTACCCTTTGTTTTGTCCTTATCGTTAAAACTCAAAACCTTTTTCAATAGCTTTCCTAAAAAAAAAGGAATACATCGCATAATTTATACAAACTATAGACAAATACAATACAGATCACATCCTAACTTTTTTTCACACCAGCTTTCAAAAAAATTTAAGTAAAAAGAGGACTACTGACAAAATTAAATTGAAAAAAAAAAAAAAAAAAAAAAGAAATTGTAACAAAAAGCTCTCTGTACTGTTCACTTTAACGAAAAACCACATTTTTACACTAAAAAATCAATCCTGATACTATTCATTTTACTCTTTATTTTGTCTTTATCGTTAAAACTCAAACATTTTTCATTAGTTTTCCTAAGTCCTTATCGTTAAAACTCAAACTTTTTTCATTAGTTTTCTAAAAAAAGAAATACATCGCATAATTTATACGAACTATAGACAAATACATTACAGATCACATCCTAACTTTTTTGCACACTAGCTTTCAAAAATATTTAAGCAAAAAGAGAACTGCTGACAAAATTAAATTGAAAAAAAAAAAATACTTTAACAAAAAGCTCTTGTACAATTCATTTTAACGAAAAATCATATTTTTACACTAAAAAGTCAATCTTGATACTATTTATTTTACCCTTTATTTTGCCCTTATCGTTAAAACTCAAACATTTTTTTATTAGCTTTCCTAAAAAAAATAAAATACATTGCATAATTTATACGAACTATAGATAAATACATTACAGATCACATCCTAACTTTTTGCCACACCAGCTTTCAAAAATATTTAAGCAACTAGAAACCAGTAGATTAACATGGAAAATGACTAATCCTTGAGTTGAGTTGAGTGTGATTTCTTTAAGTTGACCTAAATTGAGATTATTATTCACTACTGAGATTGAATTAATAAATATATAAAAATCTAGGTCACTACGGATCATACATCAAATTGACCCAAGAAAGAGAAGAGAAATGGAGATAATGAAAGTTACCCATCAGCTTGATTTTGTAAGACCATGCCTGCTAGATCTGCAATCTCTGCAAGTGCCTTCCTCCATCCCTCCACCTTTTCCGGTGACTGATTTTTCTGGCTTCTAGTAAATGCTTTTCTAACACTTCCTGTCTGCTTCCTCACGTGGGACGGATCGACATCGTAGAAGACTGGTAAAACTACATGGTCCGAGGTGGTCCGCTTGCGTTCAAGGATCAGCACAAGCTCATCAAGACACCAACTGGATGACGCGTAATCTTTCGAAAACACGACAACAGAAGTTCGTGACTGCTGGATCGCTTTCTGCAGTCCTGGCTTTATATCTTCTCCTCTCTCAAGTTCGTCGTCGTCTCTGAACGTAAGAAATCCTGCGTTGTTCAAGGCTGTGTAGAGGTGGTCGGTAAAAGTCTTGCGAGTTTCTTCGCCTCTGAAGCTCAAGAACACGTCGTAGCGATAACCCCGAAAAGTGTTGGAATCAGAGGAGGTTCCTGGAGATGTTCTCACAAGAGCCATTGATGTGGATCGATGTTTAAACAAAAAAACTGGTGTTTGCTAGGTGCAATGCAAATGTCTGTGAGCAGGGGAAATATGTAATTGGATCATTTCCATCTACTTCCAGAAAAATTTACAAACAATATTGTAAAATGGGCCGTTCCCATCCATTGACCCAAAAAGCATTTCTTTAAGTCATGGTCGGCCGCTAGTGGCAGACATGAAAAGAAAAAGAAAAGATTACTTCTTATTTTATGTGTGATTTTATAAATAACAATTATATTGATCGTTGCTCATCTTTTTGTGATAAAATGCATTTCTAATTGCACAACCATCTTTTGTGATAAAATAAAACACATTTTGATCGTTGCTCAATGCTTATTTCTCGTTCTTGAATTGTTGGAACCATTTCTACCAATCAACCCACCAACTGGTGTTTCCAATATCACCATATCGAAGGTTTACATATTCAACTGCAAGATTGATTATCCTAAAGATGATGTGGTTATGAGACAAAATTTAAAACTTGATATAACCACATAATAATGTGGCACTTATAATGTTCAGTTAGTTTCATAACGAAAGTTTATAAAAACTTGAATCTTGGTACATGTATGGTTGAACTTAAGGTGATTGATCGAATTGTTGTGTAGTTATAGGTTTGTTGAATAGTAACAAGATTCGACAAGTTATGTCTATATCCTCGGAGTAGGAATATTGGTTTCTCATTATACGAAATATAATTTACAACGTAAGAAAGAAACAAGGGAAGTTGGGAGCATTTTGCTCCCTTCCGTTAGAAGACATAATGATTTTTTATTTTTTATTTTTTATTTTTTATTTTTATGCATTTCCCTCTTTTCCTCTACCCTCAAGTTTCCTTCACATTTTCCCTTCTTTTCCGCTTTTCTTCTTTTTCCTACTCCTTTTCTCTATTCTCCGAATTTTCCTCTCATTTTCCTCCCTCCTTTTCTACTTTTCCCTTCTCATTTTCTCCTTTTCTCCTTTTCCTTCCCTCTACCCTTCAGAGTTTCCTTCCCATTTTCCCCTCATTTCATCTCATTTTCCTCCTTGCCTTTCTCTACTCTTCCCTTCTCCTTTTCTCCTTTTCCTTCCCTCTACCCTCCAGAGTTTCCTTCTCATTTTCCCCTCACTTTTGACATCATTATATTTGGGTTGGGATGTGGACCTATTATTGATGGATGGACAGCCAAGTCAATGCTTGTTTTGGTCGAGCAATTGGAAATATCTCTTTTGCTCAGGGAAGTGATGGCCATTAGTGGTAAGTGACGAGAGGGGGACCCATGCAATGTTTTTCTTGATTATTCATTATTTAAAAGCGGATGAATAATGCTACGGTCTAATAATATTTCTCTTTACTTGTAAGTGAGAAGTTTTAGGTTTGATTCTCGTCAAATGCAAATTTGAACCATGTTATTGCTAGCTCATTGTGAGGCTTAGCCAACTTCCTCTTCTTAATATAGACAATATCGTTTATTCAAAAAAAAAAAAAAAGTGGATGAATAATATCAACTTGATCTCCTTTCATATTTCATTTCAACGTTGAAAAATGTCCAATTTGGTGTACTGGTACTTTTGTTGATTATTTTGTTACTTTATTGGAAATTTTAACGAAAAGTCTACGATACTGTTCACTTTAACAAAAAATCACATTTTTACACTAAAAAGTCAAACTTGGTACAATTCACTTTACTTTTTATTTTGTTCTTATCGTTAAAACTCAAAGTTTTTAAACTCTTTTCATTAATTTTTCTTATTTTATTTTATGAGAGATTCTTTCAGATAACTTAATTTTATTTTTAGAGGCGTCATTACCCATTCAATATTTGCCAAGATTTTCAAAACGTACGTTACCTTTCTAATGGACGATTGCCACATTATGGGTTTGCGAGATAAAGACAATCTCTCCCCATCCGGTTGATAAGAATGGTGGAAATAAAGGATATGGCCATACATGACATCCAAACTGTTGAAAGACACCTCCATTTTTTTAATGTCTTGAACATATTATATTTTATAATTAGGATAAATGAGCGCTTTACAAATTAATCAATGCACTGAATAATATAGTAGCAAAGTCCTATGTCATAAACTCTATATGTTGATGAATGTCTAAGATAGAGTTCACTGCAAGAAAATAAGTGAAATATTATCCTACACATTTGTAATTAAAATGACAAATAACGTGTACACATGATGTAGGATTTAACAAGATAAAACTCACCACTGAGAAAATTCTCAGACTCTTAAATCAGGACAAACAATAAGAAAAATGAGTACAAAAAGACTTACAAAACTCATCAACTAGACCCACATACTAGTAGGCAATTTTTTCACTGCGCTTTGCTACTCAATCTCTCTTCAGCCTTCAAGTGGAAGTGACACGACACTAACACGGCCGTCAATCACTATCTCCTCAAACTTTGCAAGATACTACCGTGATCATGCATAATGTATGAAATGTAATGATTGTTTGAAATCAACCAATTACAAAAATCACAAGGCACATTCTCATAATTGATTTCTAATTGAAGCACAATGAAAAATCAGTGATTAAAAACTAAAATATTTTCTTTGAAAACACATGGACACAAAACTGATTTTTCTCAAATAAAGACTCTTATGCCGACTCACTTTAAAAGCCAGAACATGCAACATATAAGTTTTGAATAAACAGTGAAGAAAATATAACTTTCTCTTTCTAAATGCAGTGCTGCCGACTACATGTGCCGTATATGAAAGCTGCTGTATGAATTCTGCTCACAATATAACTCTCAGCAACTACAGAAAACCACTCATGCTCTCAGCGGCAGCAAAAACCAAAACCACACAAACTACTTTAATGCATGCAGCACCCAAAACTGAAATCCATATTCTAATGCACTCGGTGGTGTGCTAATGCATATGCATTGACGAACATACCTGAGTGGACGTCTCTGAACATGAAAATTTAACCTCAATACGAAAGAAATAAATCCGAACATGAATATAAGATGAAAGCATGCAAGCAGGAAAGACGACAGAACCTTCCGGACGACAACGTAATCCCCGAATGACAAACTTAACACCACATCAGTTACAGCATGGAAGGTGTACATAACCTGCGGTAGGCGAAAAGAAACAGTAACTAGAAACTAAAGAGTCGAACAGACTAAAACTTGGATACAACAACATTAGCATAAAGATACCTCTCCTAAGAAATAGTCCCTCAACCCTGTCAATTCATCATAGGTTTCAGAAGCAAAGCTACGGCTGAGATCCTCATACGATGGTGGTGGAGGCATAGTGTCCTCTGTATGCGGACTATGCGATGCTTCAATTTGCTGCTTTTCTGACAAAATCTGTCCCAACAAATAGTGTCAATGATCTCTGCTTTTAGTAGCAAGACACTAGAATAATATACAGCCAAATGAATTGGGAAAAGAAATTTTCATGCTGAAAGGAAGACTTTAGGATATTTCATACCTCGCCTTCAAGCTGATCAAGTATCTGAAGAATGTTCTGGATGATAGTTGCGCTCTGCTTCAAACTTGAATTGGGACGAAAAATGACAAGTTTACAAAATTAATTTCCTTTTCAGTCTTGTCACTAGAACAGGCCAAGGTCTTAATACTTAAATAAAAAAGGGAAGGCAATCCCTTACCATTGCAAGAAGCCGCTGAAGAGTCAATCTTTGCTGTTGACCTTCAACAGCAGCCATAGTTGCACTAGCTTCTTTTCCCAATATTGCAACGCTAGACTGCAGCTCCTGAAGCTTGGCTTCAGCAGCTTCTAGTTTCATGATAATATCAGCATTACCTGCAGAATCCCGTGCTTTGGTTTGGCATCTGGAAACATCTATAGCCTATCCCGGTGGAAGTTAGTATATATAGACAAATCTGAAGGAGTAATAAAAAAACCAACAACCAAATTACAACAAAGCTTCAAGTAATGAAGCAATCTCAACAAGTTTACATTAAACAACTTAAGATTTTGCGTTCTCTATGAATACCAATGCATGATTGTCTCAAAATGAACAAACACTTTTAAAAGAAAACAAAAAAAGTTAACCGAGAAAATGTACGATAACCATGTAACATATAAAATCACTGTAGTATAAAATGGGTAGGAAACAGAAGAAACTGCATATACCTGAGCTTCAGCTTCTTGCCGCATTGTAGCATATTGTTGAGCTAGATGTCGAGCATCCTCCAAGGGCGCTCCCACTATCATTGCCCTTAAAGGCTCTGCAACCTACACAGGCAAATTGATAAGCACAGAAAGAGTTATTATGCAAACCTATAGAAAGAAACGGTGAACCAGTTTGTCATATGATGCATAATAACACAAAAAGTAGTCCAGTTCTTGAACCCCACGTGAAAATGGAAACAATTTTTACTGTAAATTTCTTTCGTAATGATCAAATGCACACGAAAATTAGTCTTTTAAGAACCATATTTCCTGCTATCTTCTGATAGCTTGGTACCTGTTGAAAAAGTATTATGTATGCCAACTGATAAAACCAACATGAATTCATATCCAAACTCCCAAGAAAAGACAACGCATTTCAAGCAACATACCTATTTCAACGTGCTTTGAACCGGCCACAATGTAACCTTCCACTCCGCGGACAATTTCCTTTTGGTAATGCTGTTAAAGAAGAAGCAAAAAACGATAGGTAACACAACTAACGTGATGCTCGTTAAAAGCACAGACAAAAAATAAGCGTAGCAACCTTGGCAGCACGAGTTGATATGTACAGCTTCTCGAGTTTCTGATGCTGTTGAAATTCATTTTCATCCGAGGCAACATTATCCGATCCCCCATATATGCCACCAGAAAATTGTTTGAACACAGCCTGACGGTGTTCACAAAATAATCAAAAGCAAACTCGATAAAGCTTCGACTAACTCTTATGCATTAATGAAGCATAGAACATTGAATTATATGCCATTTTCGCTTGAAGTTTTCCGAAAATGTAAAAATTAAGCATCCAATTAAATCCGAAAATCGATAAGTAATTAGCAACGCCTAGCTCAAAATTTCAGAAATTCAGCAACATTACACTCCAACACATCCCCAAACAGCTCAGAAATAGTGAAAAATCTATTCGAATTCGAATCGATCCAATTCAACTCGAACAATTATATAAATATTATTTCATTAAGCAATCTCAGTATCTCGCAATCAACGCAGATTATGTTCATATCAAAATCCATACAGAAATACACATTCGGAATCAAACGAGAGAGAGTACCTGCTGTTGCTTGGCGACCTGATCTCTGAGCTTCCTGATTGCCTCCATCAACGGTTGGTCGGAGCTCAGCGGTAGGTAGTCTCGATTTTTCAGAGTTGTGCCCTTCAAGACTTGATCTGGAGGCTGATTTGTCTGGTATTTTCCGTTAAATGACCGTCACGTCGCCGCCGTCGTGGTGCGATTACCTTTCTTTCTTTTTTTGCTTTTGGAAACGCGATTACCTTTCTTTCTTTATCTTGAATTAAACGTTAGTCTCCCACTCCTCTTCATTTCATTTCATTCCTTTTTGTATTCAGTTTATGTGCAGCTGTTCATTGCTTTCTTTCTTTTTTCTTATAAAATAAAATAACAAGTCTATTACGATAACTTATGAATAAGGAGTTTTAGTTTTGATTTAAAAATAATAATAACAAAAGTTATTTATGCGGATCCATTAGGCCTCATAGCGTTAATAAGCCCTGCTTTGAATTTAGTAATTGAGCCCAGTCTTTTTTCAATTTTGTTGAGAGCCCAATTTGATTTCACTTTTTAATTTTTAGTCTATAGTTTGGAGTTTTCAGTTTTTTTTTTTTTTTTTTGAAAATTAAAAACTGAAAAATTCTTTTTGTAACTATTTTTAGTTTTCAGTTGTTAAAAAAAAAAAAAAATTGAAAATCAAAAGAGAAAATTCTAGGCCAAATTTTGAAATCTCCATTTAGTTTTTAAAATTTTTAAACTGAAAACGAAATGATTATCAAATGGTCTCTTAATTTAAGAAGCATAAAATTAAAACTTGTGTGTAAAGAGAAGAGCACTATGCTCTAAAGAGAAGAACACCCCCAAAACTACATGGCAAGTAGGGGTAAACATGTGAACAGAAAAATCAGTGAACATAATCACATCGAATAAGTCAATTTTGGCCTAGATTGGTTTTGTTTATTCTGTCGCAGAGATATTTTAAAGAATTTGAATCGTCACAAGGACGAAGATCTTCTTAAAAGTCAAGTAGTAGAGAACCAAAAGGTGTGTTTTTCAAAATAATGGCTCTTGTAATATCCATGAAATAGGTTTTATTTTTCAAAATAAGGGCCGTGAGTGTTTCAATACTCTTCATGCGCCATTGGCTTTATTTAAAATTTTGTTTTGTTTGCCCACTTGGATGTGCAGCCTATGAGGTACGCTTTAATTATCTCTTTGATGTGTTATAAAATTTATATTTCTATTTGCACAAATTGAGTAATTTTAGTCCTTTAGTTTGATAGGAGACACAATGTGATGCTGGTGCACAAGATTATGCTGACCTCGAACTTTTGGATAACTTTGAGTTTTGCCAACAATTGATCCAGCATCTTCTGGTAAAACAATTAGGGCATCTCATACTTCATCTACTTGAATAATTGCATTTGAATGTGATATACTATACGGTCTACCCAATCTATAAGATTTCTTGTAGTTCAAAACACATGCATTCAGATTACATTTAAAGCTTTTGAAATTGTTAATGATTGTATCCTCCCAACTTGGTATCCTAGTTAGTTTGCTGCTTTGGATGTGTAGAGTGGATGAACATGATTTTCAATAGTGGGCTTGGAACCTAATAGATCCTGAACTTCTATTGATTATTGATTATGATTTTGCACTATTTGATTATTCGTAGAGACAAGCCTTTTATTCTTTAAAAAGTTGCATGCTTAGAAGAGGAAGATTGTTGACAGAAGAGCCTCTAAGAGTTGCAAGATAAGGTATCAATAGATTCTTCGGTTCCCTATGTGAAACTGTTGTGACTTTGTTTTGGAATATCTTTGAGCATCTGTTGAGCAAACTAGGTTAGATTGTTGAATGCTTATTGCATTATGCTTTTGCAGATACAATGTTCATGAGAAGATAGTAAATTTCATAGCTCCAGAGACTATGGCCGTTCCTTCTATAATTCTTGACCTCAATAATTTGTTCAGGTTGAAGAAGCAGAAACCAGCTTCTGTAGTGTAAGAGCGATGCAAGGATGAACCAACTGTAAAGTCCTTGGATCTCATGTTAAGAAATTGCCTGTCGTTAATTTATTTGATATTTATTCTATCTAATATATGTTGTATTGATATTCATGCAATTTACACAATTTCAATGGGGAGCCGAGTTTTTAAGAATGATTTTGTTGTAAACGACAATTACGATTTGTAACTTCGTCACTTACCCCACCTCCAAAAAAAATGCCCGTTATTGCTAAAGATACCTATGTCAAAGTCTTTCCCTTACCATGTGTAGAAGCATTTTTTTGTTTTACTTATTTACTGCTACTCTGCTAGTATCACTAATGCTTGATGTATTTTATGCTATAATTGATGGTGTTGAACACATTTGAACTTCGGTATCTAGTTGCAAGGGGTTTTTATAACTCAAGCGGTTAAGAGTGCTTAGCTCTGAACCTGAAGTTTTGAAGGTAGAAAACATCTTGAGAGCAAGGAATGCAAAGATATATCTATATCAAGTCAAATTACAAACTCATGGTGAGCTTGTGGACGAGTGTCGCTGACTCGCTTCTTTTTTTGGGAGATGGAGGACCAACCTACTAGAGCAAGCGCGAAAAAGAAGCCAACAGCTGTGAGGCGCACCTTCCAGCCTCTCAGGCTACAGTTATTGCTAGCAGCCCTCGTCTTTGCAATTGTGTAATCAGGTTCATCCTTTTGCCCTTCTTTGTCTGAAAAACATACAAATAACATAAAATTTATTGGAAATGTTTTTGAAATGAATACGGACACACCTGGAAGTGTTTGGATGGAGTATAATTGAATGCAATACAACAACACAACATACTTGTGTCTTCTTCATCAGAGTCCATGGTGAGGATATCAATGTCATCAGCATCTTCTCTTGTCCAAGTGCCAAGGTAGTATATTCCCGGTATGCACTTCCACGTCTTCAAATCTCCACCGATAACAAATGGATAATTAGGATCTGATTTGGTGTTGTGTTGGGTACTCATCTTTTCTTGGTGCTCTTGCACAAGCTCGACACCAAACTCCTTTACCCAAAACAAGTCACGTGGTCCGGTTATTACCGAAACCACTACTTCATCTCCACATTGTAATATTGTTTTATTCTCCATCTTCCAATGGCTCAACCATATCATATCTTCTCCGTCACCTGGGATACCATAGAATACTGGGCTATAGATCCACTTCAGACCCTTGCTCTTGTTTCTCACTTTGATCATTATTGGAGCAATTCTAGGCATAGTAAAATAATTATTTGAATTTTCCTTTGCATAGGTAGCAAAGATGTTCAAGCCTCGAATTCGGTGACTAGCAAGTAGTAAAGGGACAATAAAAGATATCGAGGACTTGGTACTTTTATAGCTGAACTGGCCTGGAACCTTATTCCCAACAAAAAACGTGCTGAATATACCACGTTGATATAGTCCCTATGTATTTGCCACAATCATCACAACATTACTCAGTCATTTCTGTCAAAACAAAAGACTTATGAGAGAGAGAAAGAGAGGCGCACCTGGACGGGGACTTCTTTTGGATCCTTGTATGTGTGTGGATTACGCATTCGAACAACTGGCATGGATTCGAAGTTGCACAAGCCCAAAAGTTTGATCATTTCCACTTCAACTCTATCAATGGGCTCTAACTTGTAATAGCACTCCCACTCAACAAGATTCCAGTTGTCACCCACACATATTGGACAACATTTCTCAGGGGAATGAAACGTTATTTTTCTTAATGATATGCATCCGGCTATACTTATCCATTGGTGTACTTCCGGCAACCCCACAAGTGATTCGAGCCTATCACAACCCTCGAAAGTGAGTTCATCGATCCTTCTCAAACCTTTGATGAAAACTGGCAAATTGCAAATTGGATTCTTATCTAAATGTAGTCTTCGCAAGTAGAATAGATTACTTAAATCCATAGGAAGGACATCATCAGAAAGATTGCACCCCTTCAAACTTAACTCTACTAAAGAGCATGGAAAAGAACTCAAGATAGCTGAACTTCTTTCTGGCCATAATTCACTTATTGGAATTCCATCTGTCTCAAGAACTTTCAGAGACTCCATCTTCTTCATCATCTCCACTGGAAACTCATCAAGATTTGAGCAACCAGATAAAATGAGTGTTTCAAGTGATTTAAGCATGCACATGTTCTTTGGAAGCATCCTAAGATTCTTGCAATCCTTCATATTCAAGTACACTAGTCTCTTCAGGTTTCCAATGGATTCATGAACATTCTTTAGGCTTGTGCAATCTACAAGAATCAGTTCCTCTAGATTGAGGAAAAGTGAGAAGTCAATGGTTTCACTAAGGCCATGATAATGGCTGACGTCAAGGATCTTCAATGATGGAAGAAACTGTGGAAACTCATCAAGATTTGAGCAACCAGATAAAATGAGCGTTTCAAGTGATTTAAGCATGCACATGTTCTTCGGAAGCATCTTAAGATTCTTGCAATCCTTCATATTCAAGTACACGAGTCTCTCCAGGTTTCCAATCGATTCATGAACATTCTTCAGGCTTGTGCAATCTACAAGAATCAGTTCCTCTAGATTGGGGGAAAGTGAGAAGTCAATCGTTTCACTAAGGCCATGAGAATGGCTGACGTCAAGGATCTTCAACGATGGAAGAAACTGTGGAAACAGAGGAAAAAAAAGAAAAGAAAAAAGAACAATGAAATAAGTATCTAAGATAAGAAATTAGTCATCGAATTAAAGAAAACATAGTAGTTCATTTTAACACATGGAGTTAGTCAACAAATAAAAAACTAACAAAATAAGGAAAATGAATTGAAATGCATAGAGTAACATACTTTTGTTCCTTTGCATACTTGTCTCAAGCTACTGTATTGCATTTCAAGAACAATTACGTTCTCCAAAGGAAAATCAATTGGTATAGAATCCAAAGGAAATTCAAGCCAACACAACCATCTTAATTCTGTAGGGAAATCTGCATAACATCCATCCAGTCGTACATGACTAAGATGGAGTAGTTGTAAATTGCACATCCTTGCAAATGCATTGGTTTCCAAGACTATCTCATTTGTGTTTATTGGACTATTTGCAGGATGGTTACGCATATCCAGGACAAGACCTTGGATTTTTTTTGTACCCTAAAGGGAAAAAAAGAGACATTACTATGCATAATTTTCACAAGAAGAAATACATATATAGACATAAAAGGCATGTTTCTTACATTCTTTTTCCTCAATACTTGGAAAGAATCCTTATGGCGCCATAATCTACTACGTTTCTCAGGCTCTTCTGATTCTTGGCGAACAATTTCTCTTCCCATAGCACGAATCATGTCATGCATTTTCACCTTGCCGTGTTCATCAAGTGTCACCAAGCATCTATCAATGAGATTTTGAATGTCAATGGTTGTATAGAAATCACATCCATCCAATATTCTAACAATGTAACTTTTCTTCCTTCCTATTAGGAAACAAGCAATGTGGAGGAATAATTTCCGGTCATGGTCATCTTTTAAACTTTCATAGCTTATTCTTAGTTTATTCATGATTTCACCATCAGGAATAACTTTTAGCTTCTCCAATGCACTTTCCCATACACCTATACTTTGCCCTGATAAAGAAGAACCCAAAACTTTTAGAGCTAATGGAAGTCCGTCGCTATGTTGCACTAGCTGTTTTGAGTGCTCCATGTATTCTTCTATGGGATTGTCCTGGCCAAAAGCATGCCAACTGAAAAGCTTTAATGATTCATTGTAATCCAAAGTTTGAACTCTGTGCAACTCTGTAACTTGATCTACCTTTAGCAACCTTTCACGCCTAGTTGTTATTAGTATCTTACTTCCCGGATAAAAATGATCTTTCATCCTTAGGATTGCATCTAATTGGTCCATTTGGTCAACATCATCAAGAACAAGTAGAACTCTTCTAAAGCTTATGGCCCTTTCAATCTTAATTAATCCCTCACTAACACTGTGTATTTTCACTTCTCTGTCGTTCAAAATATCACAAAGAAGTTGCATTTGTATATGAACTAAGCCATTTGGTCGATCTTCTGTTTCTTTGATATTTTCAATGAAACTACTTCCTTGAAAGCTTCTAAAGTTTGAATTGTAAACATGTTTTGCAATGGTTGTCTTCCCTATTCCAGACATGCCATACACAACAAATATACCAACGTCACTTGATCCATCTTGTAACCACAAATTGATGCGTTCCGCTTGAGATTGAATTCCAATCAATTTTGGTTCAACACTCAATGGCATGCGACTTAACTTGTCTCCTATCACTTTAACAATTTTTTTGATAAACTTTGACTCGTACCTAAGAATTTGCAAACAAAATGAAAAATGAATTGGCGAAATTAGATAATTAAAACATATGTTGATTGCCTTTGTTTAAATAAGAAAAAAAAGAGGACTGCTGACAAAATTAAATTGAAAAAAAGAAGAAGAAAGGAATACAGCACATAATTTATACGAACTATAGACAAATACATCACAAATCACATCCTAACTTTTTTCCACACCAGCTTTCAAAAAAATTTAAGCAACTGGAAACCAGTAGCTTGATTTTGCAAACAAAATGAAAAAGGAATTGGGGAAATTAGATAATTAAAACATATGTTGATTGCCTTTGTTTAAATAAGAAAAAAAAAAGAAAAAAAAAAGAGGACTGCTGACAAAATTAAATTGAAAAAAGAAAAGAAAAAAGAAATTTTAACAAAAAGCTCTCAGTCCTGTTCACTTTAACGAAAAACCATATTTTTACACTAAAAAATCAATTCTGATACTATTCACTTTACCCTTTATTTTGTCATTATCGTTAAAACTCAAACTGTGACAACCCGTTCCAAATTTTACGTTTTTATTTTATTTTAAAAGCGTGAATTTACGAAATTGCCCTAGAGGCAAGGACTTTGACTTCTGTTGACCATCGTCTAGAGAGACGTATGACTTATTCTTTTAACATATTCTCGTAATACTCGTGGATGTGAACGCATAGGCGAAAACCGTTTGCGAGTCCGGATTATAACGGTATAGTTACGGACGTTCGAAATTGGTTATTCAAGGTTTAGTGTTAATTAAATTAAATCCCCAATCAGAAATTGGTTATTTAAGATGAAGCCCAATCAGAAAAAGGAAAGAAAGAAAAAAAAAAATCCCAGCTTTCCCGTGGGTTTTTCCCACTCGCGACCACCCATTTTCCAAGGCCGATTTCGGCCAACTCCGGTGGAGTTTTTCGATGCCACCACCACCATCTTGAAGCTCTCATTCCCCTCTACAAAACCCACCCAAGAACTACCTTGATTAACCATGGTATGAGACGGTTTGAGGCCACGAAAGTTGACGAAAATCAATGGTGCTCCGGCCACCCTTTTCGATTTTCCGGCAAATCGGCAAAGCGATGGCCGATGCCACCACTTGGGCTTTGTAGCCCATCATCCCAGGAGCAAAACCCAACCAATCTTGACCCCGTTGGACCACCGTAGACGACGAATCGACGTCGGGAAGTTTTAGGCACCCGCCGGCTTTGTGGGCAAAATTGACCATCTTCCGTCCACTTTTAGACTTCGTGGAAGGTATGAAAGTTGCTCCACTCTCTGAGATCTTCATTTTTGTGAAGTTTGAGAATTTTTGGAAATAGTTGGATTTTCCGGCGAGTCGGGGCGGCCGACCGCCACCCGCGGCGGCGCGTGGCCAGTGGGCCGCCAATGCTATTTTTAGGCTATGTCAAATGTCTTGAATTCAGTTTTTTCATTTGAATGACGTAGGTTGATAGTTGGAACCTAAATTCGTTACGATACGTTACTTGATAAAAATGTGAATCGATGATCCGACCGTTGGATCGTCACCAAAATTGGATACATTATAATACGTAATATTTAAAGATCATAGGAATTTATGGATCGGGAATCCGACTTATGGATCTTCCTGAATTGGATTTGTAAGTTAGTAAAATAAATGTTCACGGCCACTTGTTTTAGGCAATTGGCGGAGATCTGACCGTTGGATCGTAATGAAATTTTAATATATTATTCTAGAAACATATTGTGGATCGTTGGGAGTTGCGGATTGGAAATCTGATATGCGGATCTTCCGGGTCAAGTTATACAGGGTTGTAAACCCTACCGTCGATCTTTGATCGACGGTTGACTTGTGGTCAATGGGTCTCAAGCTATTTTAGAATGTCGTTGAGGTTGTGTTTTATGTGAATTACGTATTCTACGGATAAGAGTTCTGAGATGTGATTTGATAATTGGCCACAGGGACCGATCATTCAGGACGCCTCGATGCGTGCGCTAGAGAAGTATAGCGTGGACTCCAGGTGAGTGGATCTTTTCCTTTTTATTGTGCATATTATTGAGAGTTCTATCGACACTTTTAAATTGATTAGGCATATTACTTTCATATATAATTATTGTGAATGCTTGAAGTACTATATGAACTACGAATGGCTTGATCCCTGTCTAAGGTACGTAGGCAGTCTAACGAGACGTTAGATGTAGCCATAAAATATTTGAGACAAAAGCCTTGCTTGGGAAATTGAGTAATGCGAAGGAAATTGGTAAAGACAAGTTTTAGTTTTGTGAATTAGTTAGTTAAATTAGAGTTAATTGGGTTGTCATGGATAATTATCCCTGAAAATAAGTAGTTTGGGAGTAGGGCGTTACTGATTGTACACTTCACACCATATTGTTTATAATTGAAAATGCTACGACATGGTTGAGTAGTAGATTGCATCATGATATATCCATATGTATATTACTTGCATATAATTATTGGGAATGCTTTCAAGTGCAAAGGTAAACTCAGGACACCTAGGTAAGTTCAGGTGAGTTTATGGTATTAGTTGAATCGATTGAGTTATAGCATGACTACAGTTATGTGTTAGGCAACTTCGATACTGTCGTACTGGTTGCCATGAGTTCCACATGTTATATTGAGATGCATTGAGAGCTCATAAACCTGCACCCCGGTGTTAGTGCTCCCGCCCGTGGCCAGGGCACAGTCCTTCACGTGATGTTCACCTCCCGCACCTTACGCTCACCTTGGATTCAAGGTAGGTGCACAGTCTTGTCGTACAGACCACTTTAGGTGGTTCCGACTCGTAGGTGACCCGCGATTATTCGCCCAGTCTTCATGTGATCGTAGCACTTGAGCGTATTTATTTACACCCAGTCCTGTCGTACAGACCACTTTAGGTGGTTTCGACTCGTGTGCAGGTATACTTATTGAGCTATTGGCTAGCCATGATTGATGAGATGTGGATAAATCGTACAGGTCACTATAGGTGACTCCGACTTATATGCTAGCCATGATTGATGAGATGTGGATAAGTCGTACAGGTCACTATAGGTGACTCCGACTTATATGCTAGCCAGGATTGATGAGATATGGATAAGTCGTACAGGTCACTATAGGTGACTCCGACTTATATGCTAGCCAGGATTGATGAGATATGGATAAGTCGTACAGGTCACTATAGGTGACTCCGACTTATATGCTAGCCAGGATTGATGAGATATGGATAAGTCGTACAGGTTACTATAGGTGACTCCGACTTATATGCTAGCCATGATTGATGAGATACGGATAAGTTGTACATGTCATTTTAGATGACTCTGACTGATATATCACTTTGTATTGATTTAGTTCATTTGGCCTACTTATTAATGTATGGTGGATTTGATGGCAAACCGTGGTTTTGGTCATTTCTGAGTATGGTTTGGATATATGTATATATGTTGTACTGTCTTATGGAAAACGATACGGGTTTTACATTTAGGGGCATTACTTTTAGAGAGGTAGTAACTTTGGGAAGCTTGGTTTTATTGCTTACTCACACCTTCTGTTTGGTGCCCTCCAGGTTTTAGCTGCTGAGTTTGTATCGACAAGAATCTGTGGTGAATCTTAGTATTGATGGATATTTTTTAGGGTATGATTCTTACCCACACTACTGTACCTTACTTATGCTCTGACATCGCGTGTGAAATGGGTTCGCTCCCACTCGTAGCGCACTCTGGTACTTAGACACTTTTAGATTCAAATTTATTCACTTTTTATGCACTATCACATTTTATGGCTTCGTCACCTTCCAAGTGTCGGCCAGCACAGCTCGATTTAGGGTCCAAGTGGACTTTCTGGGTCGGGGTGTGTCACAAACCTTTTTCATTAGCTTTCCTAAAAAAGAGGAATACATCGCATAATTTATACGAACTATAAACAAATACACTACAGATCACATCCTAACTTTTTTGCACACCAGCTTTCAAAAATATTTAAGTAAAAAGAGGATTGCTGACAAAATTAAATTGAAAAAAAAAAAAGAAAAAAGAAATTTTTAACAAAAAGCTCTCGGTACTGTTCACTTTAACGAAAAATCATATTTTTACATTAAAAAATCAATTCTGATACTATTCATTTTACCCTTTATTTTGTACTTATCGTTAAAACTCAAACATTTTTCATTAGTTTTCTTAAGTCCTTATCGTTAAAACTCAAACATTTTTCATTAGTTTTCGTAAAAAAAAAAAAGAAATACATCGCATAATTTATACGAACTATAGACAAATACATTACATATCACATCCTAACTTTTTGCCACACCAGCTTTCAAAAATATTTAAGCAACTAGAAACCAGTAGATTAACATGGAAAATGACTAATCCTTGAGTTGAGTTGAGTGTGATTTCTTTAAGTTGACCTAAATTGAGATTATTATTCACTACTGAGATTGAATTAATAAATATATAAAAATCTAGGTCACTACGGATCATACATCAAATTGACCCAAGAAAGAGAAGAGAAATGGAGATAATGAAAGTTACCCATTAGCTTGATTTTGTAAGACCATGCCTGCTAGATCTGCAATCTCTGCAAGTGCCCTCCTCCATCCCTCCACCTTTTCCGGTGACTGATTTTTCTGGCTTCTAGCAAATGCTTTTCTAACACTTCCTGTCTGCTTCCTCACGTGGGACGGATCGACATCGTAGAAGACTGGTAAAACTACATGGTCCGAGGTGGTCCGCTTGCGTTCAAGGATCAGCACAAGCTCATCAAGACACCAACTGGATGATGCGTAATCTTTCGAAAACACGACAACAGAAGTTCGTGACTGCTGGATCGCTTTCCGCAGTCCTGGCTTTATATCTTCTCCTCTCTCAAGTTCATCGTCGTCTCGGAACGTAAGAAATCCTGCATTGTTCAAGGCTGTGTAGAGGTGGTCGGTAAAAGTCTTGCGAGTTTCTTCGCCTCTGAAGCTCAAGAACACGTCGTAGCGATAACCCTGAAAAGTGTTGGAATCAGAGGAGGTTCCTGGAGATGTTTTCACAAGAGCCATTGATGTGGATCGATGTACAAACAAAAAAACTGGTGTTTGCTAGGTGCAATGCAAATGTCCGTGAGCAGGGGAAATATGTAATTGGGTCCTTTCCATCTACTTCCAGAAAATTTTACAAACAATTATAAAATGGGTCGTTCCCATCCGTTGACCCATAAAGCGTTTCTGTAAGTCATGGTCGGCTGCTAGTGGCAGAGATGAAAAGAAAAAGAAAAGATTACTTCTTGTTTTATGTGTGATTTTATAAATAAATAACAATTATATTGATCGTTGATCATCTTTTTGTGATAAAATGCACTTCTAATTGCGCAAACATCTTTTGTGATAAAAGGAAACATATTTTGATCGTTGCTCAATGCTCATTTCTCGTCCTTAAATTGTTGAAACCATTTCTACCAATCAGCCCACCAACTAGTGTTTCCAATATCACCATATCAAAGGTTTATATATTCAACTGCAAGATTGATTATCCTAAAGATGATGTGGTTATGAGACAAAATTTAAAACTTGATATAACCACATAATAATGTGGCACTTGTAATGTTCAGTTAGTTTCATCACGAAAGTTTATAAAAATTTGAATCTTGGTATATGTATGGTTGAACTTAAGGTGATTGATCGAATTGTTGTGTAGTTATAGGCTTGTTGTATAGTAACGAGATTCGGCAAGTTGTGTCTATATCCTCGGAGTAGGAATATTGGTTTCTCATTATACGAAATATAATTTACAACGTAAGAAACAAGGGAAGTTGGGAGCATTTTGCTCCCTTCCGGCAGTAGACATAATGATTTTTTATTTTTTATTTTTATGCATTTCCCTCTTTTCCTCTACCCTCCTAAGTCCTAAGCTTCCTTCACATTTTCCCTTCTTTTCCGCTTTTCTTCTTTTTCCTACTCATTTTCTCTATTCTCCGAATTTTCCTCTCATTTTCCTCCTTCCCTTTCTACTTTTCCCTTCTCCTTTTCTCCTTTTCTCCTTTTCCTTCCCTCTACCCTTCAGAGTTTCCTTCCCATTTTCCCCTCATTTCCTCTCATTTTCCTCCTTCCCCTTCTCTACTTTTCCCTTCTCCTTTTCTCCTTGTCCTTCCCTCTACCCTCCAGAGTTTCCTTCTCATTTTCCCCTCTCTTTTGACGTCATTATATTTGGGTTGAGATGTGGACCTATTATTGATGGATGGACAGCCAAGTCAATGCTTGTTTTGGTCAAGCAATTGGAAATATCTCTTTTGCTTAGGGAAGTGATGGCCACTAGTGGTAAGTGACGAGAGGGGGACCCCATCCAATGTTTTTCTTGATTATTCATTATTTAAAAGCGGATGAATAATGTTACAGTCTAATAGTATTTCTCTTTACTTGTAAGTGAGAAGTTTTAGGTTTGATTCTCGTCAAATGCGAATTTGAACCATGTTATTGCTAGCTCATTGTGAGGCTTAGCCAACTCCCTCTTCTTAATATATACAATATCGTTTATTCAAAAAAAAAAAAAAAAAGTGGATGAATAATATCAACTTGATCTCCTTTCATATTTCATTTCAACGCCGAAAAATGTCCAATTTTGTATACTGGTACTTTTGTTGATTATTTTGTTACTTTATTGGAAATTTTAACGAAAAGTTTACGATATTGTTTACTTTAACGAAAAATCACATTTTTACAATAAAAAGTCAAACCTGGTACAATTCATTTTACTTTTTATTTTGTTCTTATCGTTAAAACTCAAAGTTTTTAAGTTCTTTTTATTAATTTTTCTTATTTTATTTTATGAGAGATTCTTTCAGATAACTTAATTTTATTTTTAGAGGCGTCATTACTCATTCAATATTTGCCACAATTTTCAAAACGTATGTTACATTTCTAATGGACGATTGCCACATTATGGGTTTGTGAGACAAAGACAATCTCTCCCCATCCGGTTGATAAGAATGGTGGAAATAAAGGATATATCGAACACAGCTTGTTATAAGAAATTGCCTACTAGTATGTGGAGAGATTGTCAACAACCAAATAAAGGATATATAGACAAATCTGAAGGAGTAATAAAAAAACCAACAACCAAATTACAACAAAGCTTCAAGTAATGAAGCAATCTCAACAAGTTTACATTAAACATCTTAAGATTTTGTGTTCTCTATGAATACCAATGCATGATTGTCTCAAAATGAACAAACACTTTTAAAAGAAAACAAAAAAAGTTAACCGAGAAAATGTACGATAACCATGTAACATATAAAATCACTGTAGTATAAAATTGGTAGGAAACAGAAGAAACTGCATATACCTGAGCTTCAGCTTCTTGCCGCATTCTAGCATATCGTTGAGCAAGATGTCTAGCATCCTCCAAGGGCGCTCCCACTATCATTGCTCTTAAAGGCTCTGCAACCTACACAGGCAAATTGATAAGCACAGAAAGAGTTATTATGCAAACCTATAGAAAGAAACGGTGAACCAGTTTGTCATATGATGCATAACAACACAAAAAGCAGTCCAGTTCTTGAACCACACATGAAAATGGAAACAATTTTTACTGTAAATTTCTTTCAAAATGATCAAATGCACACGGAAATTAGTCAGTTGAAATTCCATTTGTATGAAACCGGCCCTGGCAATATTTAATTTTTACTTAACATGAAGCATTGTATAGTAATAATTTAACTTAAACCTGTGTGCCAAGGGCTTTAAGTAGAACTCCGCACTCTCTTTCCATTTGGGCTCGAGCTCTTCCAAAACTCAGTACAGCTCTCGCCAGTGTGTTACCACTGGTGCAAGTCTTTTCAGAACCATATTTCCTGCTATCTTCAGAAAGCTTGGTACCTGTTGAAAAAGTATTATGTATAGCAACTGATAAAACCAACATGTATTCACATCCAAACTCCCAAGAAATGACAACGCATTTCAAGCAACATACCTATTTCAACGTGCTTTGAACCGGCCACAATGTAACCTTCCACTCCGCGGACAATTTCCTTTTGGTAATGCTGTTAAAGAAGAAGCAAAAAACGATAGGTAACACAACTAACGTGATGCTCGTTTAAAGCACAGACAAAAAATAAGCGTAGCAACCTTGGCAGCACGAGTTGATATGTACAGCTTCTCGAGTTTCTGATGCTGTTGAAATTCATTTTCATCCGAGGCAACATTATCCGATCCCCCATATATGCCACCAGAAAATTGTTTGAACACAGCCTGACGGTGTTCACAAAATAATCAAAAGCAAACTCGATAAAGCTTCGACTAACTCTTATGCATTAACGAAGCATAGAACGTTGAATTATATGCCATTTTCGCTTGAAGTTTTCCGAAAATTTAAAAATTAAGCATCCAATTAAATCCGAAAATCGATAAGTAATTAGCAACGCCTAGCTCAAAATTTCAGAAATTCAGCAACATTACACTCCAACACATCCCCAAACAGAGCAGAAATAGTGAAAAATCTATTCGAATTCGAATCGATCCAATTCAACTCGAACAATTATATAAATATTATTTCATTAAGCAATCTCAGTATCTCGCAATCAACGCAGATTATGTTCATATCAAAATCCATACAGAAATACAAATTCGGAATCAAACGAGAGAGAGTACCTGCTGTTGCTTGGCGACCTGATCTCTGAGCTTCCTGATTGCCTCCATCAACGGTTGGTCGGAGCTCAGCGGTAAGACTTGATCTGGAGGCTGATTTGTCTGTTATTTTCCGTTAAATGACCGCCACGTCGCCGCCGTCGTGGTGCGATTACCTTTCTTTCTTTTTTGGTTTTGGAAACGCGATTACCTTTCTTTCTTTATCTTGAATTAAACGTTATGTCTCCCACTCCTCTTCATTTCATTTCATTTCATTCCTTTTTGAATTTAGTTTATGTGCAGCTGTTCATTGCTTTCTTTTTTTTTCCTTATAAAATAAAATAACAATCCTACTACTACGATAACTTGTAAATAAGAAGTTTTAGTTTTTATTTAAAAATAATATAACGAAAAATATTTATGTGGATCCATTGGGCCTCATAGCGTTAATAAGCCCTGCTTTGAATTCAGTAATTAAGCCCCTTCTTTTTTCAATTTTGTTGAGAGCCCATTCTGATTTCACTTTTTAATTTTTAGTCTATAGTTTGGAGTTTGGAGTTTTTTTTTTTTTTGAAAATTAAAAACTGAAAAATTCTTTTTGTAACTATTTTTAGTTTTCAGTTGTTAAAGAAAAAATTAAAATTGAAAATCAAAAGCGAAAATTGTAGGCCAAATTTTGAAATCTCCATTTAGTTTTTTATATTTTTAAACTAAAAACGAAATGCTTATCAAATGGTCTCTTAATTTAAGAAGCATAAAATTGAAAGTTGTGTGTAAAGAGAAGAGCACTATGCTCTAAAGAGAAGAACACCCCCAAAACTACATGGCAAGTAGGGGTAAACACGTGAACAGAAAAATCAATGAACATAATCAAATCGAATAAGTCAATTTTGGCCTAGATTGGTTTTGTTTATTCCATCGCAGAGATATTTTAAAGAATCTGAATCGTCACAAGGACGAAGATCTTCTTAAAAGTCAAGCAGTGGAGAACCAAAAGGTGTGTTTTTCAAAATAATGGCTCTTGTAATATCCATGAAATAGGTTTTATTTTTCAATATGAAATTTTTGCTACTTGTTTAAAGCTTCCTTTTAAGCCACACTTTAAAGTTGAAAAAATGATTTATACAGTGAATTATTGTCTGATCGATGTTTATTCTTACTCATATTCTATGTTTTTTTTTTTTTTTTTTTTTTCTGAAGTCTCTTTGGCACAAAGCTCTCAAGTTCAGAATCTTACTTCAGAAAGCATTTCCATGTCGGTTACTTGGTCTAACTAAGACCTGTCATGCTGTATCTTGTAGAATAGCCACTTTCAGAAACAAATCGATAGACAAATGGCAGAGGAAGACGAAGGTAACCACATGTGCTGCTGCTATTAAAAGCAAACTGCATGATTTTAATCAGGGACTAGGATTCTTTCCCCTCTTCTTTCCATCCCCTTTCATCTCCTCCTTTCATATTTTTTATGTTGTCTTTCTCTTTCGATAAAAAATTAATATAAGATGTTGACGTGACTTAACCGTGACTGTTCAAATAGGAGGAGAGAGAAAAGAAGGGAAAAAAAAGAGAGGAGAGAATCATACGACTTTAATCAGGTCTGGCTCTATAATTGAACTTGTAACCATGCCTTTCCTTATGACGGACTTGTGCCATGCTTTGCCAGATATTCACCAAGAATTCATTTTTCTTTTTCCAAGTGTAGAATATTAGTGAACAAGTTGCTTCTTATGTGAGAGATCCAAGCAAAATGGTTAGGCAGGTCAGATGAGGAAATCAGCAGTTGTGTATTTGGCAATGTAAGATTTTAACTCTTACATCTAAATTGAAAAGAATGAAAATATCACAGTTCCCAAGGTCTCACGAAATTCTCGTATACGAGAAATTTTTCAATGTGACTGGTACACGGGATAGTACATTACGTGTCATTAAAAAGTTAATAACTTCAAAAATAAAATTTCTCACCGCTTCTATTAAAATATATAGTGTACCACTTGTGTTCGCGTCACAATTAAAAATTTCTACTTAGATACAATTCATATTTTTAACATCAAGATGGGTTTTTCTTAAGTTTTGTACGTTTAGTAATTTAAACATGACTAAACATGATTTATGGATGTGCAGGTTCCTGAGGGGGACAACACTACACAGGGAGAGGGACTGATTGCATATACTTGTGGTTAACTATAATCCTATGCTAATCTTAGGACCCATCTGTAAATTCGTTGGATTAAATGTCCCATGGAATTTTCATTTTTCCCATGTGCTATTTTAACTTCCAAATGAGGTACAAATTTATTGTTTGGGATGCATGCAGTTTATAATTAGTTTTAACGCCCAAGTGAGGTATAAATTCATTAATTGGGATGGATGCAGTTTATAATTAGTTTGATACTAGGTTTGAACATATTTTGGGTTGTTTGTGGTGTTTGCTTCATTTTTTTTTAATGGTCCAAATGTGACTTGATGAATTTGTTCCTTTTATTGTTATAAGAAAAGACCATGTAACCTGTGTTCGAGGGCTATAAGTGTTTCAATACTCTTCATCCGCCATTAGCTTTATTTAAAATTTTGTTTGCCACTTGGATGTGCAGCCTGTGATGTCTGCTTCCCACGCCCACCCCAAAAAAAAAAAAAAAAAAAAAAAAAATCTCTACCATGTGTAGAAGCATTTTTTTGTTTTACTTATTTAGAGCAACTCCAGCCCAGCGGGTTTGATTGGCACCCAGTGAAGAAAATAGCCCGGCCTGCAAGGAATGAGCTCCAGCCCGCACAATTGACTGGCACCCAGCCCGTGCCAGTCAACAGCCCAGCCCAAAATGGACAGACCCAGGAGCCGGTCTGTTTTGTTGGCGCGTGCAACACACGCGGGTGCCTAGGCGAGTAGCCGACAGGCTTTGCAGGCGCTGGGGCCCGCGTGCAGGTCCACTTGCAGTCATCCGGGTGAGGTCTACGTGGCCCTCCTCAGAGCCGTTGGATTTCCAACGGCTAGTTTTGTAGGCCGTTGGATTTCCAACGGTAAAAAAAATTTAAATTTAAATTTTAAATTGGACCGTCCGATCACAGATCAACGGTCCACGTTTATTTCACCAAAAAAAAAGGCCCAACGGTCAGAAATTTGACCGTTGGCCACGTGGCATCGTGTTGGCTATTGGATTTGATTATTTTTCAAATCCAACGGTCCAGATTAATTACAACATTAAAATTTATTAAAAATTAATTAAAAAATGTCAAAATTTTTTTAAAAAATACAGAAAAATTTTAAAAAATTAATTTTTTTTTTCTATAAATACCTAACCCTCATCTTCCACCTTACACCACATTTCAATATTTTCTACACTTTCTACATTTGAATATTTTGTACACTTTGAGAGAAAAAAATGACTTCGTGGAAGCTCAGTGAAGATGTTACGTTGTGTGAATGTTGGGTTCGCACTACTCATGACCCGATTACAGGTAATGAGATGGATAAGCGAGAAATGTGGAGTAAAATTACGAAATCGTTCAACGATGTACATGGAAAAGATGCCAGATCTAGTCAAGGTCTTCAAGGTCGTTGGAAAAAACTCAACGCATCCTTTACTTGTTGGAAAAACGCCCTCTCTCATGCTTCTGGTAATTTGCGTAGTGGGACAAGTTTAGCGGATGAGGTAACAATATTTTTATTTATTTATATGCATTCCACCCACATCAATATTTTAATTTATTTAATTTCTTATGTAATTTTTATGTAATATGCATTCCACAATACTTATGTAATTTTTATGTAATTTTTATGTAATTTTTATATAATTTTTATGCATTCCACAATTCTTATGTAATTTTTATAGACACTACAAGCACAAGCATTCTACAATGCAAAGAACCATAACAAATCATTCAACAAATGGGAATGTTGGCAAATTGTCAAAGATTGCCCTAGATACAAAATTGTGGCAACCGGTCCAGAAGTTGTCATGCACGGTATGGGTCTACACAGTTCGCCAGAAGCAGACACAGCCGAACAAGAAGCCAACACATTTGAAGACACGGAAGGGATGCCTGAACAAGTGCCAGAGACCCAACCGACTCATCAGTCCCTCAGGCCTCAAGGTAAAAAGGCATCAAAGAAAAAAGGTAGTTCTTCCAAAAATGACTACACTAAATATATGGAGGAACTTACTCGTCAAGGTGAACTGAACATGGCATGGGAAAAGACTAGAGATGAGGAAAAAGCTGCTGCCCTGGCAGCAATTATTGCAGCTACTGAGGCTCGTGATGAGGCGACTGAGAGACAAAGAGAAATAGTTAATCGAGAGAACGAGATGATTAGAGAAGCACTTCATCGAGAGAATGAGATGCTTAGAGAAGAAAGGATGGCTCAAACAGATCGTGACACTATGAACAAGTCTCTAGTAGGACTGTCTCCGAATTCAAAATATTTTTGGACATCAGAAAAAAGAGATGTCGTGCGGAGGAGGCGTGCAAGAGATGCCGAAACAAGTCAAGGGGGTTCCAACTACAGAAATCCTAGCAACCAAGATCCTAGCACCACATATCCTTACTCCACAGACTTTATTTAATTTCTTATGTAATTTCTTATTTATTTTTAGAACTTTATTTAATTTCTTATGTAATTTCTTATTTAGTTTTAGAACTTTATTTAATTTCTTATGTAATTTCTTATTTAGTTTTAGAACTTTATTTAATTTCTTATGTAATTTCTTATTTGTTTTTAGAACTTTATTTAATTTCTTATGTAATTTCTTATTTAGTTTTTAGAACTTTATTTAATTTCTTATGTAATTTCTTATTTATTTTTAGAACTTTATTTAATTTCTTATGTAATTTCTTATGTAAACTTAAAACACCAAATAAAATTACATAAAACACCATTTAAACTTAAAATTACATAACCTCACCATTTAAACTTAAAACACCAAATAAAATTACATAACCTCACCATTTAAACTTAAAAAAAAAAGCAAACACACTAAATAAGATTACTTAAAAAACAATACACTTTATTCTTCAACCACAAGCCTTATTTTAATTATCTTCGCCTTCGTGCAAGCTCCACTGATGCTCAATCAAGTCATTCTGGCGGGCTATGTGCCAGTATGGCTCTTGCAATGAAGTGTATCGTTGAACGATCAATTCATTGTAACGTCCATCCCGTTCCAACGGCTCGTGTTGCACGGGATCTTCGGTCCGGTCATGAGCATAGTAGATTTGTGTTCTTGAGTTGTTCATCGGATCCGGCTTGTATTCATCGACGGCATCATAATCATACTCGTCTTCAACAATCATGTTGTGGAGAATAATACACGTCATCATGATGGATCGAAGAGCCTCGACATCAAACATTCTAGCTGCAGCCCTGACAATGGCCCAACGAGCTTGCAGGATACCAAAACAACGCTCGACATCCTTCCTACACCCTTCTTGACACTTTGCGAAGTGTTTCTCTTTTTCACTCTGCGGGTGTGGCACTGTTTTGACAAATGTTGACCACCTTGGGTAAATACCATCTGCAAGGTAGTATGGTCCCTCGTATTTATTACCATTAACCCAATATGTGCATCTCAGCCCACGCCCTTGTAGCAGTTCGTCAAACACTGGAGATTGGGCAAGGACATTTAGGTCATTCTGAGCTCCTGGAACACCAAAAAAAGCATGCCAAATCCATGTATCAAAAGAAGCCACCGCTTCCAGAATGATGCTTTTGGCTCCTTTTCTGTCGCCATAAGCTCCTTGCCATGCACTTGGACAGTTTTTCCATGTCCAGTGCATGCAGTCGATGCTTCCAATCATGCCAGGGAAGCCTCGCATCTCACCCTTCCTCAGAAGCCTTCGCATGTCCCTTGTCGTGGGTTGCCGAAGGTACTCATTGGTGTAGAGGGCTTCAATTGCAGAGCAAAACCGCATCAGGGACTCCAGAACTGTTGTTTTTCCCATCCTTGCGATCTCATCCACTTGATCTGCAGATGCTCCATATGCAAGCATTCGCAAGGCAGCCGTAATTTTTTGCTCAGGAAGAAGACCTAGAACATGAAAAGCATCATCTTTTTGCACAAAATATGGATCATGGTTGCAAACATCACTCATGATTTTAGCGAACAAACTTCGTTGCATTCTAAAACGACGTCTAAAAACATGATCAGGGTAAACGCTGTTGGGAATAAAATAATCTTCCAAGAGATCTTTACCTCGTATTTCCCTTCTTCTATCGATGTTTGCCGCACGTCCGGGTTTGGCTATCTGACCCATAGCTTCCATGATACGGCGGGAATGTGAGGCCCTCCGCCTTCTATGGTGATCATCCTCATCCTCCTCCATTGAGAAGGCCTCATCTCCACCTCCACCTTGGTCAATATTGACCAATTCTTCCTGTTGTGCCAACAACCTTTTCTGCTGCTCTTGCAACTGTTTATACGCTCTCCTTGAAGAAGACATTGTAAGAACTCAAGATTTGAAAACGATAAAGAAGAATTCTGAGCTAAAAAAAAGGATTGAGTTTAGTGTGAGGATGGATGTAGGGATGTAGGGTTTATATGGACAAAAAAAAGAAGATGAGGTTCTGGACAATGCCACGTGGCACTACGTGATTGGTTGAAAATCTTAGCGGAAATCTATTAAAAAAATAGTACGTTCGGATAATGACACGTGGCGTGACGAGATTGATTAAAAATCTTATCGAAATCTTGCCTAAATTATTGTAAACAGGAAGTGACACGTGGGTTGTCGGGATTGGTTGAAAATCTTAGCGGAAATCTATTCAAAAAATAGTACGTTCGGATAATGACACATGGCGTGACGAGATTGGTTAAAAATCCTATCCGAAATTAAAACTATTTTTTTTTATTTTATAAAAAAATTATTTAATATTTTAAATGGACTGGGTGCCAGCGCATTTTGTAGGGGTGGAGATCGTTTGTGCCAGCGCATTTCTAGACTAGGTGCCAGCACATTTTTTTTTGGGGTGGAGATGCTTTGGCCTATTACTGTTCATTGAGTCTGTTACTGTTCAATTAAGTGGATAAATGGGCTGGGTGCTGGCGCAAAGTGGATAGGGGTGGAGTTGCTCTTACTGATCCTCTACTAGTATCGGTAATGCTGGATGTATTTTATGCTATATTTGATGGCGTTGAACACATTTAAACTTCGGTATCTAGTTGCAAGGGGCTCTTAGATCTCAAGCGGTTAAGAGTGATCAGCTTTGAACTTGAAGTTTTGAAGGTAGAAAACATCTTGAGAGCAAGGAATGCAAAGATATATCTATATCAAGTCAAATTACAAACTCTTGGTGGGCTTGTGGGCGAGTGTCGTTTCTTTTTTTGGGAGATGGAGGACCAACCTACTAGAGCAAGCGCGAAAAAGAAGCCGACAGCTGTGAGGCGCACCTTCCAGCCTCTCAGGCTGTAGTTATTGCTAGCAACCCTCGTCTTTGGAATTGAATCATCACGTTCATTCTCTTGCCCTTCTTTGTCTGAAAAACATACAAATAACATGCAATTTATTGGAAACGTTTTTGAAATGAATACAGACACACCTGGAAGTGTTTGGATGGAGTATAATTCAATGCAATACAACAACACAACATACTTGTGTCTTCTTCATCAGAGTCCATGAAGAGGATATCAATGTCGTCAGTATCTTTTATTGCATAACCGCTCAGGAAGTATATTCCCGGTCTGCACTTCCACGTCTGCAAATCTCCACCGATAACAAATGGATAATCAGGATCTGATTTGGAGTTGTGTTGGGTACTCATCTTGTCTTGGTGCTCTTGCACAAGCTCGACACCAAACTCCTTTACCCAAAACACGTCACGTGGTCTGGTTATTACCGAAACCACCACTTCATCTCCACATTGTAATATTGCTTCATTCTCCATCTTCCAATGGCTCAACCATATCATATCTTCTCCATCACCTGGAATTCCATAGAACTCTGGGGCAAGGATCCACTTCAGACCCTTACTCTTGTTTCTCACTTTGATCATTATTGGAGCAATTCTACGTAAAGTAAAATAATTATTTGAATTTTCCTTTGCATAGGTAGCAAAGATGCTCAAGCCTCGAATTCTGTGACTAGCAAGTAGTAAAGGGACAATAAAAGATATCGAGGACTTGGTACTTTTATAGCTGAACCGGCCTGGAACATCATTCCCAACAAAAAATGTGTTGAATATACCACCTTGATACAGTCCCTATGTATTTGCCACAGTCATCACAACATTACTCAGTCATTTGTTTCCCATTATATATTTAAGACTTATGAGAGAGAGAAAGAGAGGCGCACCTGGACGGGGACCTCTTTGGGATCCCTGAATGTCCATGGATTATACATTCGAACAGCTGGCATGGATTCCAAGTTGCACAAGCCCAAAAGTTTGATCATTTCCACATCAACTCTATCAATAGGCTCTAACTTGTAACGACCCTCCCACTCAATAAGATTCCAGTTGTTACCCACAGTTGATAAACCCTGTCGATTAGGGGAATGAAAAGTTATTTTTTTTAATGATATGCATCCGACTATACTTATCCAATGGTGTACTTCCGGCAACCCCACAAGCGATTCGAGCCTATCACAACCCTTGAAAGAGAGTTCATCGATCCTCCTCAAACCTTTGATGAAAACTGGCAGACTGCAAATTGGATTCTCATCTAAATGTAGTCTTCGCAAGTGGGATAAATTACTTAAATCCGTAGGAAGCACATCATCAGAAAGACTGCACCCCTTCAGACTTAACTCTACCACAAAGGATGGAAAAGAACTCAAGATAGCTGAACTTCTTTCTGGCCATAATTCACTTATTGGAATTCCATATGACTCAAAAACTTTCAGAGACTCCATCTTCTTCACCATCTCCACTGGAGACTCATCAAGATTTGAGCAACCAGATAAAATGAGTGTTTCAAGTGATTTAAGCATGCACATGTTCTTCGGAAGCTTCCTAAGATTATTGCAATCCTTCATATTCAAGTACACGAGTCTCTCCAAGTTTCCAATGGATTCATGAACATTCTCCAGGCTTGTGCAATCTACAAGAATCAGTTCCTCTAGATTGGGGAAAAGTGAGAAGTCAATGGTTTCACTAAGGCCATGAGAATGGCTCACGTCAAGGATCTTCAACGATGGAAGAAACTGTGGAAACTCATCAAGATTTGAGCAACCAGATAAAATGAGTGTTTCAAGTGATTTAAGCATGCACATGTTCTTCGGAAGCTTCCTAAGATTCTTGCAATCCTTCATATTCAAGTACACGAGTCTCTCCAGGTTTCGAATGGATTCATGAACATTCTCCAGGCTTGTGCAATCTACAAGAATCAGTTCCTCTAGATTGGGGAAAAGTGAAAAGTCAATGGTTTCACTAAGGCCATGACAATGGCTCACATCAAGGATCTTCAACGATGGAAGAAACTGTGGAAACTCATCAAGATTTGAACAACCAGATAAAATGAGTGTTTCAAGTGATTTAAGCATGCACCTGTTCTTCGGAAGAATCCTAAGATTCTTGCAATCCTTCATATTCAAGTACACGAGTTGCTCCAGGTTTCCAATGGATTCATGAACATTCTTCAGGCTTGTGCAATCTACAAGAATCAGTTCCTCTAGATTGGGGGAAAGTGAGAAGTCAATGGTTTCACTAAGGCCATGAGAATGGCTCACATCAAGGATCTTCAACGATGGAAGAAACTGTGGAAACAGAGGAAAAAAAAAAAAAAAAAAAAAAATAGAACAATGAAATAAGTATCTAAGATAAGAAATTAGTCATCAAATTAAAGAAAACATAGTAGTTCATTTTAACACATGGAGTTAGTCAACAAATAAAAAACTAACAAAATAAGGAAAATGAATTGAAATGCATAGAGTAACATACTTTTGTTCCTCTCCATACTTGTCTCAAGCTACTGTATTGCATTTCAAGAACAATTACGTTCTCCAAAGGAAAATCAATTGGTATAGAATCCAAAGGAAATTCAAGCCAACACAACCATCTTAATTCTGTAGGAAAATCTGCATAACATCCATCCAGTCGTACATGACTAAGATGGAGTAGTTGTAAATTGCACATCCTTGCAAATGCATTGGTTTCCAAGACTATCTCATTTGTGTTTATTGGACTGTTTGCAGGATGGTCACGCACATCCAGGACAAGACCTTGGATTTTTTTTGTACCCTAAAGGAAAAAAAAAAGACATTAATATGCATAATTTTCACAAGAAGAAATACATATATAGACATAAAAGGCATGTTTCTCACATTTTTCTTCCTCAATACTTGGAAAGAATCCTTATGGCGCCATAATCTACTACGTTTCTCAGGCTCTTCTGATTCTTGGCGAACAATTTCTCTTCCCATAGCACGTATCATGTCATGCATTTTCACCTTGCCGTGTTTATCAAGTGTCACCAAGCACCTATCAATGAGATTTTCAATGCCAATGGTTGTATAGAAATCACATCCATCCAATATTCTAACAATGTAGCTTTTGTTCCTTCCTATTAGGAAACAAGCAATATGGAGGAATAATTTCCGGTCATGGTCATCTTTTAAACTTTCATAGCTTATTCTTAGTTTATTCATGATTTCACCATCAGGAATAACTTTTAGCTTCTCCAATGCACTTTCCCATACACCTATACTTTGCCCTGATAAAGAAGAACCCAAAACTTTTAGAGCTAATGGAAGTCCGCCGGTATACTGCACTAGTTGTTTTGAGTGCTCCATGTATTCTTCTATGGGATGGTCTTGGCCAAAAGCATGCCAACTGAAAAGCTTTAATGATTGATTGTAATCCAAAGTTTGAATTATGTGCAACTCTGTAACTTGATCTGCCTTTAGCAACCTTTCACGCCTAGTTGTTATTAGTATCTTACTTCCCGGATAAAACTGATCTTTCATCCTTAGGATTGCATCTAATTGGTCCATATGGTCAACATCATCAAGAACAAGTAGAACTCTTCTAAAGCTTATGGCCCTTTCAATCTTAATTATTCCCTCACTAACACTGTGTATTTTCACTTCTCTGTCATTCAAAATATCACAAAGAAGTTGCATTTGTACTTGAACTAAGCCATTTGGTTGATCTGCTGTTTCTTTGATATTTTCAATGAAACTACTTCCTTGAAAGCTTCTAAAGTTTGAATTGTAAACCTGTTTTGCAATGGTTGTCTTCCCTATTCCAGACATGCCATACACAACAAATATACCAACATCACTTGATTCATCTTGTAACCACAAATTGATGCGTTCCGCTTGAGATTGAATTCCAATCAATTTTGGTTCAACACTCAACGGCGTGCGACTTAACTTGTCTCTTATCACTTTAGCAATGTTTTTGATAAACTTTGACTCGTACCTAAGAATTTGCAAACAAAATGAAAAATGAATTGGGGAAATTAGATAATTAAAACATGTGTTGATTGCCTTTGTTTAAATAAGAAAAAAAAAGAGGACTGCTGACAAAATTAAATTGAAAAAAAAAAAGAAGAAGAAAGGAATACAGCGCATAATTTATACGAACTATAGACAAATACATCACAAATCACATCCTAACTTTTTTTCCACACCAGCTTTCAAAAAAAATTAAGCAACTGGAAACCAGTAGCTTGATTTTGCAAACAAAATGAAAAAGGAATTGGGGAAATTAGATAATTAAAACATATGTTGATTGCCTTTGTTTAAATAAGGAAAAAAAAAAAAGAAGGACTGCTGACAAAATTAAATTGAAAAAAGAAAAGAAAAAATAAACTTTAACAAAAAACTCTCAGTACTATTCACTTTAACGAAAAATCACATTTTTATACTAAAAAGTCAATTATGATACTATTCACTTTACCCTTTATTTTGTCCTTATCGTTAAAACTCAAAATCTTTTTCAATAGCTTTCCTAAAAAAAAGGAATACATCACATAATTTATACGAACTATAGACAAATACAATACAGATCACATCCTAACTTTTTTTCACACCAGCTTTCAAAAATATTTAAGTAAAAAGAGGACTGCTAGCAAAATTAAATTGAAAAAAAAAAAAAAAAATTTAACAAAAAACTCCCGATACTGTTCACTTTAATGAAAACCCACATTTTTACACTAAAAAATCAATTCTGATACTATTCATTTTACCCTTTATTTTGTCCTTATCGTTAAAACTCAAACATTTTTCATTAGTTTTCCTAAGTCCTTATCGTTAAAACTCAAACATTTTTCATTAGTTTTCTAAAAAAAGAAATACATCGCATAATTTATACGAACTATAGACAAATACATTACAGATCACATCCTAACTTTTTTGCACACCAGCTTTCAAAAATATTTAAGTAAAAAGAGGACTGCTGACAAAATTAAATTGAATAAAAAAAATACTTTAACAAAAAGCTCCTGGTACTATTCATTTTATCGAAAAATCATATTTTTACACTAAAAAGTCAATCCTGATACTATTTATTTTACACTTTATTTTGTTAAAACTCAAACATTTTTTTATTAGTTTTCCTAAAAAAAATAGAATACATCGCATAATTTATACGAACTATAGACAAATACATTACAGATCACATCCTAACTTTTTGACACACCAGCATTCAAAAATATTTAAGCAACTAGAAACCATTAGATTAACATGGAAAATGACTAATCCTTGAGTTGAGTTGAGTGTGATTTCTTTAAGTTAACCTAAATTGAGATTATTATTCACTACTGAGATTGAATTAATAAATATATAAAAATCTAGGTCACTACGGATCATACATCAAATTGACCCAAGAAAGAGAAGAGAAATGGAGATAACGAAAGTTACCCATCAGCTTGATTTTGTAAGACCATGCCTGCTAGATCTGCAATCTCTGCAAGTGCCTTCCTCCATCCCTCCACCTTTTCCGGTGACTGATTTTTCTGGCTTCTAGTAAATGCTTTTCTAACACTTCCTGTCTGCTTCCTCACGTGGGACGGATCGACATCGTAGAAGACTGGTAAAACTACATGGTCCGAGGTGGTCCGCTTGCGTTCAAGGATCAGCACAAGCTCATCAAGACACCAACTGGATGACGCGTAATCTTTCGAAAACACGACAACAGAAGTTCGTGACTGCTGGATCGCTTTCTGCAGTCCTAGCTTTATATCTCCTCCTCTCTCAAGTTCATCGTCGTCTCGGAACGTAAGAAATCCTGCGTTGTTCAAGGCTGTGTAGAGGTGGTCGGTAAAAGTCTTGCGAGTTTCTTCACCTCTGAAGCTCAAGAACACGTCGTAGCGATAACCCCGAAAAGTGTTGGAATCAGAAGAGGTTCCTGGAGATGTTCTCACAAGAGCCATTGATGCGGATCGATGTTCAAACAAAAAAACTGGTGTTTGCTAGGTGCAATGCAAATGTCTGTGAGCAGGGGAAATATGTAATTGGATCATTTCCATCTACGTCCAAAAAAATTTACAAACAATATTATAAAATGGGCCGTTCCCATCCATTGACCCAAAAAGCATTTCTTTAAGTCATGGTCGGCCCCTAGTGGCAGACATGAAAAGAAAAAGTAAAGATTACTTCTTATTTTATGTGTGATTTTATAAATAACAATTATATTGATGGTTACTCATCTTTTTGTGATAAAATGCATTTCTAATTGCACAAACATATTTTGTGATAAAATAAAACACATTTTGATCGTTGCTCAATGCTTATTTCTCGTTCTTGAATTGTTGGAACCATTTCTACCAATCAACCCACCAACTAGTGTTTCCAATGAAGGTTTATATATTCAACTGCAAGATTGATTGTCCTAAAGATGATGTGGTTATGAGACAAAATTTAAAACTTGATATAACCACATAATAATGTGGCACTTGTAATGTTCAGTTAGTTTCATAACGAAAGTTTAGAAAAACTTGAATCTTGGTACATGTATGGTTGAACTTAAGGTGATTGATCGAATTGTTGTGCAGTTATAGGCTTGTTGTATAGTAACAAGATTCGGTAAGTTGTGTCTATATCCTCAGGGTAGGAATATTGACTTCTCATTATATGAAATATAATTTACAACGTAAGAAACAAGGGAAGTTGGGAGCATTTTGCTCCCTTCTGTTAGTAGACATAATGATTTTTTATTTTTATGCATTTCCCTCTTTTCTTCTACCCTCCTAAGCTTCCTTCACATTTTCCCTTCTTTTCCGCTTTTCTTCTTTTCCCTACTCCTTCTCTCTGTTCTCCGAAATTTCCTCTCATTTTCCTCCTTCCCTTTCTACTTTTCCCTTCTCCTTTTCTCCTTTTCCTTCCCTCTACCCTTCATAGTTTCCTTCCCATTTTCCCCTCATTTCCTCTCATTTTCCTCCTTCCCTTTCTACTTTTCCCTTCTCCTTTTCTCCTTTCTCCTTTTCCTTCCCTCTACCCTCCAGAGTTTCCTTCTCATTTTCCCCGCTCTTTTGACATCATTATATTTTGGTCAAGCAATTGGAAGTATCTCTTTTGCTCAGGGAAGTGATGGCCACTAGTGGTAAGTGACGAGATGGGGACCCCATGTAATGTTTTTCTTGATTATTCATTATTTAAAAGCAGATGAATAATGTTACGGTCTAATGATACTTCTCTTCACTTGTAAATGAGAAGTTTTAGGTTTGATTCTCGCCAAATGCAAATTTAAACCATGTTATTGCTAGTCAATTGTGATGCTTAGCCAACTCTCTATTCTTAGTGTAGACAATATCGTTTATTCCCAAAAAAAAAAAAAAAAAAGTGGATGAATGATATCAACTTGATCTCCTTTCATATTTCATTTCAACGCTGAAAAAGGTCCAACTTGGTGTACTGGTACTTTTGTTGATTATTTGACTTTATCGGAAGTTTTAACGAGAAGTTCACGATACTATTTACTTTAACTAAAAACCATATTTTTACATTAAAAAGTCAAATCTAGTATTATTCACTTTACCCTTTATTTTGTCTTTATCGTTAAAATTCAAAGTTTTCAAGCTCTTTTCATTAATTTTTCTTACTTTATTTTTATTTTATGAAAGATTCTTTCAAATAACTAAATTTTATTTTTAGAGGCGTCATTACTCATTCAACATTTGCCACGATTTTCAAAACGTACGTTACCTTTCAAATGGACGATTGCCACATTATGGGTTTGTGAGATAAAGACAATCTCTCCCCATCCGGTTGATAAGAATGGTGGAAATAAAGGATATGGCCATACATGACATCCAAACTGTTGAAAGACACTTCCATTTTTTTAATGTCTTGTACATATTATATTTTATAATTAGGATAAATGAGTGCTTTACAAATTAATCAATGCACTGAATAATATAGTAGCAAAGTCCTCTGTCATAAACTCTATTTGTTGATGAATGTCTAAGATAGAGTTCACTACAAGAAAATAAGTGAAATATTATCCTACACATTTGCAATTAAAAAGATAAATAACATGTGTACACATGATGTAGGATTTAACAAGATAAAACTCACCACTGAGAAAATCCTCAGACTCTTAAATCAGGACAAACAATAAGAAAAATGAGTATAGAAAGACTTACAAAACTCATCAACTGGACCCACATACTAGTAGGCAATTTTGTCACTGCGCTTTGCTACTCAATCTCTCTTCAGCCTTCAAGTGGAAGTGGCACGACACTAATGCGGGCGTCAATCACTATCTCCTTGAACTTTGCAAGATACTAACGCAATCATGCAGAATGTATGAAATGTAATGATTTTTTGAAATCAATCAATTACGAAAATCACAAGGCACATTCTCATAATTGATTTCTAATTGAAACACAATGAAAAATCAGTGATTAAAAACTAAAATATTTTCTTTGAAAACACATGGACACAAAACTGATTTTGATGTGAGCAGCCTTGAAATAACCCACTATACTCAAAGATCCGTCTTGACGGTACAACGGCGGCACACCGTCATCACTCTTTTGGCTTGAAGAAGGCATGCTCGATGAAATTCTACAAAGACGCAAGGAAGAATTGTTAGATGATTGCACAAAAAAAAAAAAAAAATTACATGGAGCAGGGCACCAGGCTGCAGCCCAACTGGTTGCCTCAAGGACCAGCCCAACATGCCGAGTAGCCTAACGCACCAGAAGGCCCAGTGTGCCAAGTGCTGCTATTCCCTCGGCCCAACAAGACCCTCAGCCCAATCTAATTGGAGGGGGTTGGCGCCCCCGCGCCTCCCTCTCTCTCATCTTTCACACGGGCCAAGCTTAGTGGATCGTGAGCCCAGCCAAGGAAGGAGGCCGAGCCTCCATTCCTCTCTCCCGCACGGCCCCAAGTTCAACGCCACAACGCTCTAGGCCTGGCCCAGCTTGGGCCGCCAGCCCTCTACTCAAGCCGAGTCCCCGCCACACCAACCCACCCACGACAGTAGCATCGTGGCCTCCTAGCCACAATTTTGACACATACTTAACCCGCGTCGAGCAAAATTTCAAACCCCGATACTCCAAAAAATTAAGCAGAGAAGGAAAATTAATTTTTTCTTATCTTGGTGTAGCGTGAAGACGAAGAAAGCAACAAAGACAGTCAGTTACATGGGCAAATGAAGAAGATTGCTAGGGAAGGAGGAACAAATATCCTCTATCTTTCTCTCTTTCTTATAGGGTTAAATAATTGCTCTCTAAAATTGATTTAATCATCTACTTAAGATAGACTTAAATAGACTTTGGAGGTAATTTATGGTGCACATTATTAAGTTCATAGACTAAAAGATGTCGGGATTTAAAATGAAAGATTTGGGATCAGAAGAGGCCAGTGTGGGTGAGTGGGACGATAAATGAGGGAGGAGGAGTTGGGGTTGGAGTTGTTCGTTGGACTGTTGGAGATATATGTCAGCAGCCATGGCAAATCTGGGATGAACGTTTGTAAATTGTGATTGGGTTCATGGGGATGTGAAAGGAAAAATTGAATCATTAGGGTTTGTGAATATTGATGGGGAGAGGCAAGTGATATGGTACGAAAGGTGAATTTTCAATTTGGTATGATTGTGCTGATTTGGAGCAGTTATATTCTTTTGGATTCATCAATGGGTTAAGATTTTATTAAATGCGTATTAATGCATCGAGATTAAATATAGAGATTCGGGATATACACCACATACTACATTGCATGGATGCATGCAGAGTATGCATAGCACACGCAAAATTGAACAACGCAAAAAATAAGGATGAGCAAAAAAAGAAAGACAAATGAAGCACAAATTAACAACCAAAACAACAGATAGATATCTATCGACTAATTCGGAATATGTGCTTCGGATTAATGTGACTGTTAGAAATTAATCAGGAAACATCAAACATTAGCAAGAGTAATGCATTTGCCAATGATGATCAAGTACGACGTCGTCGACGTCGGCAGTGAGCCTTGCACATGTGTTGGCAGTCGTAGAAGCAAGGCCCTCCGCAGTGAAGAGGGCAATCCAATCTCATGCCTTTGCATCGTCCCTTCCGCATGCATTGTGCAAACTCTCCGAGTACGTACTCTTCCTCGTCGAACCTCCTCGTCGGGCCGAGGTAGACATGTTTACTGTTTCTGCGGCCTCTTCCTCCTCGACCTTTTCCTTTTCCACCACCACAACCCCATTTCCACCACCCTGCCCCTCCTCCTCCTCCGCCCCATCACCACCCACCACCGCCTCCACCAGCTCCTCCTCCTTTTCCACCTCCACCTCCTCCTCCGCCACCACCCCAACCCCATGCATAGCCTCCTCCTCCTCCTCTTCCTCTAGACATCCAATTAGGCTGCTTCTTTTTGTTATTGATATCAACTTCAGTGGTGTAGGAAGTAGTCTTGTTCCTCACTTCTCCAATTCCTGCTGAAGGAATTTCAGCAACAGCTAAAAAAGAAGAACCAGTATTGCCTTGCTCGTTATGAGTACTATTCGCCGTGCCATTTTCCAACTTACCGCCGCCAGCTTCCGAACCAACAATCGCCGTCAAAATAAACAAGACGACCCATAACTTTCTCATCACCACTCCATCCATATGCATGTATATTGATTTTAGGACGGTAGAATTAAAATCAATGCGCATATGTTGTGGTACTTCATACTTATATAGACATAAATTCAACGATCATAAACTGATTACATAGTTTAGACGTTAAATTCAGTAATGTATATCATAGATAGAATTCACAACTCGTGTCCAACAGAAAGTGTGCCTTGTATCTTACTTTTGTCCCCACCTAGTTTGCTCTAACTTTTTACAGTATAGGCTGGAAGAATTAGGTTAAAGTGGCGGTTGCGCAACATGCATGCTTCACTTCACAGCCTGCTCCAAGGCGCCCCACTCTCGCCCACTTATAGGAGAAATTTTTCATTGTGACGGGAATACGCGTGGTACAACACGTATTTTTATATAAATTGTGAGAAATTTTATTTTTTGAGTTATTAACTTTTTGACACACAAATCCTACAATTTGTATAATAACACATAGTATACTACCTCGTGTGCCGATCACATTGAAAAATCTTTCCACTTATGACACGCTGGTCTGACCAGGCTAGCTCTCTTCTCGATCAGTCAACCCTACTGGTATTTCAATCTTAGCTTATCCATGGGATCACAATTAAACAGTTTTTTAATATTTGATGAGAAATAATAATCAAACACATCATTTTTTTTTTTTTTACAAACCACTGTTTAATCGTATTTTTTGTCCGTTTGATTATTCAATTAAAGAATCAACAAATAAAGACTAGTATAAAAAGAAAAATGGCATGTAATTATCATTTCCATCTTCGAATCCATCATTTTTGGGTTAATTTGCAATATAATCACAAAGAGTTGATTAAACTAGGTTATATATACAACAATACATACACACACACACACCAACACACAGATATATATATATATATATATATATATGCATATACATATAATAGCATGCAGTGGATCACACTGTCACATGAATTGTATGATTTTCAGGTCCAGCTGCAATGTGATCAGTACAATATTTATTAAGTTTTGCTTGGCCACTAAGGCTGGACTTCGCAGTGTTAAATTTAACATCATATGTACATATACAGCAGTATACTTATTTGCCATCATGCTTCCAACTCCTCCGTGTTAACTAATTATAATACAACAAAAGTATAACTCTCATCAAATACACCAAATGAATTAATTACAATAGAGTAATGTTAGGAAGTTCAGATTTTTGTAGCGTGTAATCATAAAACAAATTTCTACAAAAGCAATAATAAAACTTATTTTCACATAACTTTTCATCGCCCATAATTAAGCTTCTTAAAATTCATGGAGAACATCTCAAAGATGCTCTGATCAACGTAACTCTATTTTGACTATGTTCTGCTCCGCTTGTAGTTTGATTGATTATTTTAGTTTTCAAACTTGAAAATTCAGTAAAATCTACATTTCCTAGGAAGAAACGACATGATCAGAAAATTCACAAATATTTGATAAAGCTATTTTCTTCCTAGGGTTGAGTTTAGGTGGAAATGAGATTTTCTAGTTTTCACAAGACCTATTGTGTGCACGATAAAGAAAATATTATAGATTACGTAAAAACGAATTTACTGTTTAGTGAGTCGTAAAAGCAATTTCTATTGAAATTTTAAGCTTGAAAGCTTAAATAATCAATCAAAATACAAGTGGGATCAGAACATAGTTAGAATAGAGTTTCGTTGATCATAACATATTTAAAGAGTTCAGCTTCAATGAATCAATGAGTGTTATTTTTCATAACTTTTAAATATTTACTCTTTAAGCTCAATCATTCATTTCCATATCATCCAATGTTCCTTGGATAATTTTCCAAAAAATTGCATGAAAATATGGCTGTTGATGAATTTTGTAGAAATGAGCGAAATTGACTAAAACCCGTTTAAATTTTGGGCCGGTCTAAACACCAGACCCAAATAGATAATGGTTTGGAATTTTGGGCCATTTGCGTTGACCCTTAAGTTTAATACAAATCTTAGAGCCGGTCCAAACACCAGACCCAAATAGATAATGGTTTGGAGTTTTGGGCCATTTGGGTCGACCCAAGACGGTAAGGGTTTAATACAGAAGATATTGATAATTTGATAGGGTTTTATCTCACGACTTCACCGTCTTCTCTCTCTCTCTCAACAATTTCCAGTTCGGCGAAAAATGGGGAAGAAGAAATTCATCGACAAGAAAAAATCGGCGACCTTCCAATTAGTCGCCCGCGACTCGTCCGATCCCAACTACGATGACTCACCCGGCAATGACCGAGTCTTTGTACGAGTCGACAACAGCAGCTACTCCGTCGACAGCTTGTTCCCGGAGGATAACCCTGACCACGGCTCCGGTGCCGACGGATACAACGATGACCCTAATTCGATATACGCCGATGCGCCCGAGGATGGCGGCGGCGGGGACTATGGCCATGGTTACGGGAGCTCGGCGGCGTCATCGGCAGCTCAGCCTTTGCCTGACAACGTAAGGAAGGAGATTCTGGAGCTAGGGTTTCCAGACGACGGTTACAATTACTTGCTGCATATGAGGGAGATCAGGAATACTGGCGGCGGTTCTGCGTTTTATCAGAATTCAAAGGCTAAGCTGGGTGAGCTCCCGCGCGATGAAAAGGTTGGTTAGCTAACTTAGCTTTCGGTTGCTTAAATTCTGCTTGGTTTCCGAGAAAATTGAGGAAAAAGAAAGAGTGAAGTAGAAATTTTCTGTCTTTTGCATTTTTGAGCTATGAAAACTTAGGTAAAGGAATTTCTTTTTTGTACTTAAAACACAGTGTGTTGTGGATTTTTAGGCATATGATGCTTCGAGGTTGCGCATTTCGGAAACCGAAGCTCCGAACGAGAAGGTTATTTACAGTGTGGCTTCTAAGACGGTTAATGTAAGGGTTCAGAAAGTGGTTGATCCAGAAGTGTCTAAATTGCTTGATGATAGTGATGTTTCGAGGTTTGGTTCTGATGTTGAGGACTTGGAAGAAGATTTCGTGGTTCAGGCTAACCAACCCGAAGAAGAGGAAGAAGAGGAGGAGGAGGAGGAGGAGGATGGTGTTATAGATAATACGGCAAGTTTTGTCGAACAACCTGAGAACAAAAATGTGAGCAATGAAGCAAATGGAGCACGAAAAAATAGCGTGGTTGAAGCAAAGGATCACTCTGTGGTTGAAAAGCCACGAGTTCATCGCCTTTTGGATGAGCAATTTGAATTGGTGAGTTAGTTTTTTGGCAGGTTTAGTTATGTTATTTAAACTCTGTAGTTTGAGTCTCACGATATTATATTTGTTGCCACCCTTTTTCGTTTGTATCTATTTTAGCTCACATTTTTGTTGTTTATAAAAAAAAAAAAAACCAGCTTGTAGGTCAGGAGTATGGCAGTTATGACAATGACGATGATGATGATTATGGTTATATACCTGAAGAAGATGAGTCCCTTGCAGAGAAGCTCAAACATGCCACCCTTAATGAGCATGTGATGGATGACTTAGAGCTGGATGGAAATTACAAGGCTCCTGCAGATTTGTTGCGGGATAACGAGACAGTAAAAACGAAAGAGCTAGTGGACTCTGCTAATGACCTTATTCGGCGCTGTGCGGAATATGCTGAGAAATATGAGAACGAAGATCAAGATGGAGACGTGGTCATTGTAGAAGAGTCTAGCGATGAATCAGAGGTGTGGGACTGTGAGACCATTGTTACAACATATTCAAATCTTGATAACCACCCTGGAAAAATTGAAGCTCCAGGAGCAACTAGAAGGAAGAAGCTTTCTGAAACGGTTTCTGGAGCCTTGGGTTCCACCGATCGTGTGATAACTCTTCGAGGAAAACAGAAGTTGCCCGTGGACTTCCTGCCTCATGGTAAAAAAGCTACTTCTGAGAAGGTGAAAGACACGGGTGCCTTGAAAAATCAGCCGCTGAAAAGGAAGCAGCACGGTCAGGAGTCAAAGGAGGAGAAGAAAGAGCGAAAGGTATCCATTCACTATTCTGCTATCCATATTTGCTTATCTTGAGCATGCCATTACATCCAGCTTACCGTACTTTTATAAACTCCAGAATGTTACAATTTGAGGGCAAAAGCTGGAAGCATAAAACTTGCATCCACATATTCCAAAGCTACGCTTTTTGGCACCCGATAATTTGTGCAATTGTGCATTGTATTTTGTTTATGTTGTTTCGTTGTTAAGTGCTGTTGGTTCTTTGATTATGACTCGGGGATTTATGCATGCAGGCTGCTGTTAAGGAGGAAAGGCGTGAAGCACGCCGCACTAAAAAAGAAATAAAGGAACTCTACAAGGGTGAAGCACAGCATGCCCAGAGAGTAGTTGCTATTTCGGGCCCTTCTTCTATTCATCTAATGTGATTGTGCCAATCATTAAGTTATTTCTCTAGGTAATTGAAATTGCATCATTTTTTCGTTAAATTCTTCTGTTTATGGAAGTACAGTTTATATTAATTGATTCGTTTAATTATGTTCTTCTAGGTTAGACTTAAGAGAGCACAGGATAATTGTCAAGAAGGCGGTATCCCATGAGCTTCCACATTTCACAACACCAAGAAGACACATACAGATAATTTACGACCAACCATGTTAAACGAGGCACTGTATGTTTCATCCTCATTGCCTTGATTTTTTTTAGTATAGAATTCAAGTGACATTGGGATCGAGTATAATTTATGTTCGGAAAGCTTGGTTTCTGATGTTTTTGGCCGGTCATAAAACATGCCTCGAGTTCTTTATACGCATATGTAATGTAGCAAGAGATGAAAGATCCGTTACAAAGCATGGATGATAAACATCGTTCTTCCCATAATTTTCTAATGTATTTCTTTGATTTGTCATTTTTTTGCCCCCCCCCCCCCCCCCCCCTATAATTCGGTGTATATTCTTGCTTTGCTAAACCAGAGATTTTAAGGAATCAAAACAAACATGTTTTGCTAAAGAAACTTCAACCTGTAGATGGCAAGAACATAATCCTCAATGGGGAATTGGAGCCATATCACCTCTACAAAAATAAGGTGTGGGACTCCAAATGCCGTAGTCCTCAAGAGTTATCTCCGAGGCTTGCGTCTCATATCGGCATTCATGTCCTCCTCCTCCCTGGCGCACCTGATTTTTCAGTTGCTCGGAAGGAAGAAATGCTGGTAACAGAGCTGGGGCCGTGGCTGGTGATATCAGTGATGATGTCAGTGATGTCGTTGCCCTTGTAGGCGTAATCATCATAACAGACACGATCATCATGGATATCATGTGCTTCGCCGATGACGCTGAGGTCACTGGTACTGCTTCCATGATGGTTCTTCTTGGCTAGCTGCAATGCAGGTTAGGGTTTTCAAATTTCGAGCTTGAGGCTGCATTTCGTAACCGTCAGCAAAAAAATGCTGATATAAAAGAAGCGGGTATTGTTTGAGAAAAATTCGTTTCCTTTCTTTCTCACACCGGATGAATGTCTCAACCACGCTTCTTGCATGCTGACAGAATGGAAACCCTAACCACTTCTCGTCCTACATATATATTCACTGTTCTAAAAGCCCCCGTCTAGATGCTAGTCTGCTGGTCACCGTCCTTCTAGCCTGCTTAAACCCTGTTTAGGTCTCCACTCTCACTTAGACAGAAAATCAATTTTTTCAATAAAGTGTGAGAGACTATTTGAATACTTGAATGAATATTCATTATATGCTTGTTTCCATGTTTTCAATATGTTATAATACTTTATAATTTATATGTCATTTTATGTATCTCAATATAATTATGTATGTTTTTTAAATATAAATAGATACTTATACAATATGTAATAAACTTATTTAAATCCGACTAGACGCTAGGCTTCAACTCGCTGTCCGACTAACGCTTAACGTTTTTTAGAACCTTACATCTAATTTACGTTTTACTACGAGATTTATCGGAAACACCGGTGGAAGAAACAAATTTATTATACAACGGCATAATGCCCACCTAACACATTCGTGATCTACATATTTCACACTGAACAACTACATTACGACGAAGGAAATATACAGAATAAACAGAAAAAAGGTCTAGCTATGGGGCCTTGTGGGATTGCAATGTAAAGCACTTGCATTTGTGTTTCATGGCTTCAGCCTCGCTTCCGTATTCTCTGAATTTGTACTCTTCCTGCTTCGAGGTAGGAGGCACCTTTCCCTCGCTATAGCATTGATTACACAAGCTGAAATGAGATTTTACCTCCTTAAATCGGGACCCGATGATCGGGTAGCGGCAGACCGAGCAGACATGGTTACCGTGGCGGTTTCTGTCCCCGGTTTCAAGCTTCAACAGCGTGGACATGATACCGAAACCCCAATCTGGGTCGTCAAACATGATAAGAAACTCTGCGAAAGACATTGTGGAAAGATCCGTTTCTCCATGGAGTTCCAGCATCTCGCTAACCCCGTGGGAAGGGACATATATGGCTCTCAACAGATTGATATAGCTAGTGGCATCAGCTTTTCTTATCTGGGAACCACCACCCTCGTTTACAGGACGCCACAAGAGCGCATCAAATGCAACTCGTTTGCGCTTTTCTGGCGAGCCACTGCAAATAGGGGCTAAAACAGCAAAAAACATTCCTAAATCCACTCTTCCTGAGCCTGTATCATCCATGACAGAGAGTATCCTCTCGTTTATGGCTTTAACAGCTCCTTGGAAAGTCTCTGGCTTTAGAAAATCAAGCAACCTGCGGAGGATTACTTCTAAATTAGGCTTGCGTATGGATCTCTGAGGAACACCAGTACCTGAATACGAAAGAGGTACTTCACCATCATTCATTTCCTTCTTAAGATGCTCCACATCACATCGACTCAACCTGGTAATCCTCTGAAAGGCCCTAATCTCAAGTGCATTGGCCAATTCTTGCCTCAAAGTAGTCTTCTCCCCAACTGTCTTGAATTTCGAGGGTTCGACAGTGACAAAAGAACCCTCTCCATTGGTTGCCTTCACCTTCTTCTTCTGCAGCTGCTTCAAATGCGCAATGGCATCATGCAATTCAACCCTGTTGGTCATTTTCAATGCTTCCTTCAGAGCCTTCTTAGCCTCCTCAGTTTCCCGAGCTCCCAACAAAGACACGGCCTTGTTAAGCTGCGCACGCCAATGGTTCGGCCACACAGCTAAAACCCTAGTATACATCTCAGAAGCTCTCGGAAACCTACCCGAATCCATATACAGCCCACCCAAATTATACAAAGCATCCACATGACCAGGCTTCAAATCAATAGCTTTCTGAAATGTGGCAATTGCCCTCTCATCCTCCCCCATGGCATGCAAAGCCGAAGCTAAATCACAATGCGCATCGGCATAATCGGGTTTCATAAAAATGGCCTCATCCAAGGCCTTGACAGCCGCCCTATATTCCCCAACCCCGAAAAGAGCACTACCCAAAAGTTTCAAAGCTCTAAAATGTGTTGGACATAGAATTGCAGCTTCTCTGTAATACTCACAAGCACTCATAACCATACCTTCACCTTCAAGCGCAATCCCGAGATTCACATAAATCTGTGGAAGCAGATAAGCCCACTGGTTGCCGCCGGCCTCCGCCGCCTCCAACGCCAGCAAAAACTCTTCTTTGGCTTCCTTATACCTGCCAAGAACATACAAGCAATTCCCAGCTCGGAAATGCGGCCGCACATCCACCGGCTGCAACTCACAGGACCTCTTGAAGCTCACCAACGCCTCCTTAAACAGCTGGTGCTCGTACAGCACCCTTCCAATCGCCATGTGCCCGTCGAAGGCCTGCTCACGTGACCTCGCTCCGTCGGCCCGGCTCCTCAGCACCCCCAATTCTTTGACAAACAGAGCGTAATCATGCCCATTCTCCTCCCAAAATACCCTTTTCTCAGAAATCTCCGACGACGGCCCCAATTCCCTCGACCAACCGGCGTCGGAGAAGGCGTCGATGTTGTCCGCCTTCAATTTCCCATCTTTGCTCTGCTTCGCCTTCAACCGCTTCACCAGAATCTCCAAATCGTCCACAATCTTCCACGTGTCGTCGAACACGATCCCGTGGTTCGGCGACACCGCCCACGCCGCCGTCCTCTGCTTCTTCTGCGACTCCACTACCCGCTCGTCGACAATCGACGACGACGACGCCTCGGACGCCTTCGTCTCGTCCAGCGTAAGCTCCAACCCGAGCGCGTCGAAGTCACGGTCCACATCCCCGGCTCCGTCGTCGTACGTCCGCAAAAGCCCCTCGTACGTCAGCCCCTTCTCGCCGTCGATGAAGTCGCCGTAGGTCCGGAACACCTCGTCCAAAATGGCATTGATCTGCTCGTTGGAAAATTTGACCCTAGGGTTTACGGCGACGACGAGCGCCGCCATCTCATCGCGGTTGAGGCCGCCGTCGTGGTTGTCATCGAACTGGTAGAAAATCCGCTTCACCTTCTCCGATCTGCTCCCTCTCGTCGTCATTAAAACTCCGCTTTAATTTCGGAATTTAATTCTTCTGGAGGGTTTTCCAAGTTTTAATTGGCGATAAATGGGAGAGTGACCGAGGGGGGACCAAATATACGGTGCGGCGGGGGTACGCATCTAAATTAATTAATCTGGTTCTGGGGGTTTAATCCGTGATTAGACTAATAATTCTGTGATTAATGAGGTTTAATCTCTCATTTGGGTGTACCGACTGTTTTCTCTCTGAGAGAGAGAGAAAGAAAGAAGACGACGCTTGTTTTCTCTTTCTTTCTCTCTCATGTTTAAGTTTTTTCTTTTTGGAAATTTTTATTAAAAAAATTATTAAAAATAATTTAAAAATTTTGAATTTTAATTATAAAAACAAAATAAAAGGTAAAATAAATAATATTAGAATTACCATTTTAATGTTAAAATGTAATTTTTTATTAAAATAAATAATACCGAAAATTTTTCGTTAAAATTTCATTTTTTATTATCTGGTTCTCGTTTTTGCGAAGATGATTGATGAGGATGGGTGAGTGGGCCATGGTTGGGTCTAGTGGGCCTGTTAAATTTTTTTTTGAGTATTTATGATTTTTTAAAGTATTTTATGTATTGGTATTGGTTGGCACGATTAAGGTACGTCAGCTTTACATAAGCATGTTGTCCAGCTGGCTGAGTTCTTATGTTGATCACTGTGCGTACATGTGGCAATTTGTGTTAGCTCGATCATAGAGGTAATAAATCGGATATAAAAGTGGCGGCATCTTAAATCTGTCACGGTGTTATGCATCACTTTATTAGATGATGTTTGTGTTGTTATATTTTGTGTTTCGACTGTTTCACTTTGTATATGTGTGATGCGTCCACTATTGCTCAACTTTAATATGTTTCATTAAATTTTTTGGTTTGACATTAATGTATATGAGTTTCAATATGTATCAATTAACATAAACGAAAATTAATCGTAACGTTTTTCTATTATGTTTGCGTAGCAACACTAACTCATTTTGTTTATTATTTTACATGCATAACTAGAATTAAGATCTCTTTGACATATATAATTATACATAGCCGTTAAGGAAAGTGATTCTTATTTTTTCCACAAATGGAGATTAGTTATGAGGCACACATCATATCGAACTTCAACGATCTTAACAGTTTATCTTTTCAAGTTGCACCTCATAGGTCATCATTGAATATTAGCTATATTGGGAATATTTAAGGCATCTAATTAAGTACAAAAAAATTGACCAACACTATAATTTAAAAAACATTGAAATTTCATCGTGACAATTAAATGAGCAAATGGTTACGGATTGAATCGAATTATTGCAAGGATAATCTATGAATCGAAACTTACAAAACAGACAATTTGAATCATTAAAGTTAAATGTGGAATGAATCTGTACAAAGATAAATTACACGATTATGATAATATATGAGAATTAAACTAGTTGATCAAGATAGTGAGAAGCACATCCTCTCTAGAGCTATAATTTGGGAGCCTAGAGATTAAATAATCCTGGCCTTTCGAATTCATTCCAAGGCCTGTAGCTTTCGAAGCGTTTGTATCTTCCAAATTGTCTCAGCAACAAGATCATATCGCAGCCCCTGCTGGAGATGGCTGCCGGAATGTAGAACGTGCTGTCGGAGAAGGAGGAGGCGGGGAGTGGAGAAGCCGATGCCGAAGTGTTTCGGGTCTCCGTTTGGAGAGTGTGATACGTCTGCTTAAACCCTTTCAAGCCTTCTCCTCTGAGAGATTTTTATTTCCATTTTTTTTGTTGGTTGAAAAACGTGGCTAAAAGCAACAGCCAAACAAACCTACTCAATTTGATAAAATAAAAAAAATACCCTACTTAATAACAAATTTGGACCGGAACACTCAATTCGATCTTTACGAATAAAATTAACTAAATAAGAAGGAGGAGTATTAAAATAAATTTCTTTTATCTGGAGACATGCTGAAATTTGCAATACCAAAGTCTTGAAAGCAATTATTGGCAGGCCAAAACAAGGGGACCTAAAGAATAATTATTGCTAGTAGCTTGCAACACCAAATGAACTGTGATTGCAGATTCTGATTCCACTTGTGATTTATCAATTTGTAATCTCCAAGTAATTGGGAGCTCAAGTAAAGACTCCGCGACTAAGAATCTCACATGTGCCCTAATTGGCGCAAAACCCATAAATTCATTTACCATCAGAATCTCTTAAAACACCACATGCTCCAGTAGAACTATCACTTTCGTTCTTACAACCATCAGCATTAAGCTTAAACTAATCTAAAGGAGGAACTTCACAATGGAGCAAAAATTCAATCCTATATGGTTTATCAATCTTGTGAGTATTAACTTTCAACCATTCATGAAGATAAGTACAAATAGCAATTGCAAACTCATATGTCATCATAAAATTCTGCTCAAAAATAAATTTATTTTACCAATACCAAATAAACTAATAAGCAACAGAAAAAACTAACCTCCACTCTATATACTTGTTTAACTTAGTCTATTGGCATCAATTCAATGAATATATTTCATTGTTTGTTCACACGATATCAAATCCGTTGTAGTCTAGTTGGTCAGGATATTCGGCTCTCACCCGAAAGACCCGGGTTCAAGTCCCGGCAACGGAATTTGTTTTTATATTTTTTGAGTTTTTCGTTTTCATATGGGCTTCAGTTAAAGGCCCATTTGAAAGGCTTCTCTCATTACTCCAGCCCAAAAAATGTTGTGGATATAGACCCAACTAAAACATTATCAGGTTTTCTTTATTCATCTTAGAATACAAGTGATGATTTATTTTAACTATGTTGTATGAAAGAGAGATTCAAAATTTGGTGAGGTTTTTATCGAGGCCCATATCGAAAATGTACACCGTTTAGTGTGCTATATTTTTCATTTGGTGGTTCTATTGTTAGTAAGGTGTTGATGGTAGTGCATCTTTGTATTTATACCCCGTGATGGTAATCAAGTTGCATTTTTCATAAAGACGCAACTATAGTTTTTGATATTCACGTTTGGGTTTGCATAGTTTGTGCTATCCTATGTAAATTTTTATGTGTATTTGGGTAAAAAAAAAAAAATGTGGTGTTTCTCATGTTATAATATAAAAAGACGATATAGTTAATATGCCCCATTTTAAGATATATTTTTCAATGACACAAGTGTTTTTAGTTCTTAAATGTAGTCATTAGCGTTTTAGGTTGTCTCAAAAACACTTAATTTTCATAAATTGTCTCAAACAGACACAACAAGAATAAATTACTAATGATCCGGAGCTATATGATAGTAACACTAAGAAACCTCGCTCGATAACAAGAAAAAATTACGCATTGTAATACGAGTAAATGAGTAACATGTAATGATGTGATCATAAAAGAAATTCTAAGGAATGCTAATTCCTGTTTGTGGACCACCCGGTCCTCTCGTATTTGGTTACTACTACCCGGTCTTGCTGGGGCTCCATTTTATGTGGGAGATTGCCGGCCCACGGACGGCCGTATGCAAGAACCTCGCCGGAAAGAGACTTTCCGGGTCATTTTCACAAATAAAAAAGGTTTAATGGGTCAAATATAAAAAAGGTTTTTTTTTAGATTATAGCTTTTGGGGGAATCGGGGAAAAACCAAAAGTAAAAATCCACAACCCCTTTTTTTCTGAAAATGAATCTTCTTTGAATTCCTTCCACTTAATGACCCTTTTTTTTGAAAATGAATCTTCTTTGAATTCCTTCCACTTAATCATTCTCATCGAATTCCAAAAGTAAAAATCCACAACCCCTTTTTTTCTGAAAATGAATCTTCTTTGAATTCCTTCCACTTAATGACCTTTTTTTTTTTTTTTTTTTTCTGAAAATGAATCTTCTCTTTGAATTCCTTCCACTTAATCATTCTCATCGAATTCCAAAAGTAAAAATCCACAACCCCTTTTTTTCTGAAAATGAATCTTCTTTGAATTCCTTCCACTTAATCATTCTCATCGAATTCCAAAAGTAAAAATCCACAACCCCTTTTTTTCTGAAAATGAATCTTCTTTGAATTCCTTCCACTTAATGACCCTTTTTTTCTGAAAATGAATCTTCTTTGAATTCCTTCCACTTAATCATTCTCATCGAATTCCTTCCACTTAAATCAAAAGTAAAGAAATCATTTTCGCATCCCTTTCACTTAATCTTTCTCATCAAACAATTAGAGCTCTTGAAATATAGGTTCAATTTAAAAGTTATAATAACTTTAGCCGTTTGATCAAAGTTTAAAAATTCGGATTGTTTGATAAGTAGGATTAGGTAAAAGGGGATCCGGAAATGATTCACTTTAAAAGTTATAATAACATTAACCGTTTGATCAAATTTTAAAAATCTAAATTGTTCGATGAGAAGAATTAGGTGAAAGGAATACAGAGAATCCATTCCTTTCTTTCCCTTCCGTTTCTTCAGACGCTCCTCCCACCCCACTACAAACCCAGCACTCATCCCACTGCTACCAAAAATAAAATTATATACCCAGCACATTCTGCATTGCAGTACTCTCTCTGACCTCACCGTGTACCCAGCAGTACCCATGGCAACGGCTAATTTATCCTTCCTCTTCGTCGTAGCGTTTGCGGTTCCTATTTGCTTCGCCGCCGCCTTAACGGCCGCTCAAAGGCAAACATCACTTTCCGAGATACAAGCGTTAACGGCGTTTAAGCGCAACCTCCACGACCCGCTTGGTGCGCTCGACAGCTGGGATGCGTCCACGCCGTCAGCCCCGTGTGACTGGCGTGGCGTCGGCTGTTACGATAACCGAGTTCGGGAGCTCCGCCTGCCTCGTCTCCACCTCGGCGGCCGAATTACTGACCAGCTCGCCGACCTCCGCGAACTCCGAAAGCTCAGCCTTCACAGCAACAACCTCAACGGCTCCATACCTTCCTCTCTCTCCCAGTGCGCTTTGTTACGCGCTCTTTACTTGCATGGCAACTCCCTCTCCGGGACTCTCCCGCCGGCGATTCTCAACCTCACCAACCTCCAAATCCTCAACGTCGCTCAAAATTTCCTCTCCGGAACAATCTCCGGCAACATTCCGGTGAGCCTTCGGTACCTCGACCTTTCGTCGAACACATTCTACGGGGAGATTCCGATGAACTTCTCCGCCGACTCTAGCCTCCAGCTTATAAATCTCTCGTTCAATCGGTTCTCCGGCGTGGTTCCGGCGACCATCGGCGGTCTCAAGAATCTTGAATATCTGTGGCTGGACTCGAACCAGCTACACGGCACTCTGCCATCGGTGATT